AACACCTCGCCATCATCCGCACAGCCGTCCTGGAGTGCATACCTTCAGACACTACTCTTAAAAAGTATGCACTCTCAGAAGGCCGTGCGTCTGATGGATTGTGCGAGAAAACTTGTATTTGTTTACTTGAAGAGACGGTTGTGTGAAGGATACGTATTGTCCGCTTGTTTATTTTGTTATTTATAGCCTCCATAACGACGCTCATGATGATTTTCAGTCACATCAGATTTGTGAAAGTGGCCACTCATGACCAGTTGTAGGTAGCACTCACTACTGATGTTAGCCATGACCAGGAATCAATCTCAGGAATCATAGCTGCTCAGGGTGCTAACTAACCACTGTGCCACCTCTCCACCGCTTGTTATATGGTGCTCCATGTTGAACTACCACAGGTGGCGTCACCCTGCTGCTGCTCTCACCATTCTGGCGAATTGCCCGATGATGCTGGATGCAATTACCAGCGAAACGTCGTGCTGCTCAAAAATTGTAAATGTTGTGGTTTCACTCTTCAACACACCGGTGGGCTAAAGTAGTGAACTATTTGTCTTTTGTCAACGTGACACTTTTTTGCTGATTGGCCGTGTCGGGTGGTGGAGGGTTACGCCACATTTATAAATAACGCGATCTAAACCCAAAAACGTTTATTATGAATAATATTAGTCGCGAAAGCCTACGTGTTAAACTACCACAGGTAAAGTTTACAACTGTTTTTGCTTCATTACCTTACATGTTAGAATTGCACGCGGGTTTTAGAAACAATATCATCTTCAATAGACTTATGAAGTGATAAACAAGCAAACGGTTAACAGAGTAATTTCCCCATTGAAACCTCATTTGTCAGTAAAATGGTGTAAATGCTTACCCCGAGCTCTCATACTCTGATGGTGCATTGTCTTTGAGTTGTGCGCCTTTTGGCGTCATCTGGTCCAACCCATGTGAGACTAGGCTCTCAGGAAAGCTGTCTCGGGTGTGGACCAATCAACTTCAAGGACGGTGCATACATTATCAGAGTTATGTTTTATGTTTGCATTATGACTGCAGGTATTGTGGTCTATGCAAACATGACTCCTTGTAAAAAGGTGTCAGTTTTGTTGCCAGATAGAAGGGTAAAAAAACAATTATCAGAGTAATTTCCACTGAAATAACACGCGTCACGGCTACATTACGTAACTGTATACAGTAGTCGTTTTAGTATCCTGCAGTGGAAACTTTTAATCACACGCTGACGTTTGGCGGACCTAGTGTGGCATTTGCATCGTACTGGACCTGTCCTCTTCACCACATCCTTCCCATGCACGTCCAAATAGCACGTTTGGCTACGTACGATGTGAAAAAAGCTCAATGTACAAACATGCATGCTGTTCTCCCCCTATAATTAGTGGGTTTGGCTATGTGTGGCCCAGAGGGTGTCTGAGGCATTATACAATTAGAGTGCAACTTGCTTATTAAATTATATTCCCTTGAAATTGTGGCATATTCTGACCAATAATTTAATATTTCGACGTGAGTGCCACATTCCATTTAACCTCAGCACAAATTAAGCTTCCCTGGGAAGAAATCATTTTGGCTAAAAACAGCAGACTTTGACAAAAAAAATGTTGATGAATGCAATTATGTTCGAGTATTAATTTTACACGACTATTGAGGTTAATATAATACATTTGGACAAAATAATTTGTTGTGTGTTGTTTTAATCTTCGGCTCAAAGGAATAAATATTTATACAAGTTTTGTTTGAGTTTTTTTTCATTCTAAACAAATCTGTGATGTCATTAATGAAAACCACTATTAAAAACCTCTTTAATTCAAGCATATCCAGCTTAGATGTACTTTTAATTATAGAAGCCAAATGGAATGGTCTTGAAATGCTCTTCGCTGTCTCACGTTCTTTTGTCCTTCGTAATTTGAAAATCCCCTACCTTAAAGCATGGCAATTACTGTCATTTACACTCCAAAAACACTTACACAGCCCGTTCTTTAAACAGCCCCATTAATAACAGTAATGAAGCTTTACGAGTTTCAGGGCAAGTATACTTTTACGACGCTACCCACGTCGATCCAAGTGTAGATACTCCATTCATTACAAATGACCCTCTTATTGGCATCACAACAGGTTATTGAATATATTATACAGGGCAGAGTGTCAAACTGTTTACCGCGTTTAATGGGTTTGGTGGGGGCTGTGGAGAGGACCCTGAAATACAGTAGAACCTCGGAGATGGAACGCACCAGAACTCGAACAAATCGGTGTTCGAACGATATTTCCGAACATTTTTTGCCCAGGAAACCGAACGAAATTCGGAGGTCGAACGGGGCAATCGCGACTTGAAAGAACCTGTACGGCTGAGACGCGTATGGCCAGCGTGCATGACGCTTGCCCAGACAAAGGTTTTACTACCTCCTCCTCCTCACCACCTTCCACTCAAGCCATCAACTCTCCTTACTACAGGTAAAGTGAAGTTCAATATTTCATTTATTCCATATATTTATTGTGTTTCTTGTTTTTTTTATGCTTTTATGCATGTAATTACTGTAAACTTCGTGTAAAAATGCTTTATAATGAGAGATTTATTGTGTGTCTGGAACCAATTAATGTCATTTACATTAATTCCTATGGGGAAAATTAATTCGGTGTTCGAACAAATCGGTGTTCGAATGGCCTTCTGGAACGAATCAAGTTCGATCTCCGGGGTACCACTGTAAAATGTTTTCTCTCTTATTCTACGAGGCCTCCCTATTATTTCATCGGGGTATCTATAAACAGACCGTACTGTGTATATAGAATTTGGATGTATGAGTGGATCTTTGGCACACATAACAACACGGGGGTTAAGTGCGACCAATGAATGCTCTCGTTGGTACACATGTCAGCCGGCCATGCCACTTCAGAGCAGTAGAGTGAATATTGAAAAAAAACAATTTTAATATATAAAATGTCGCATTCCTTGTAAAAATGCAGTGACTTGTGCTCCTTGAGCGCGCCTGCAATGTCAAAACATTCCTCCCAGCGTCAGCCGCAGCCTTGAAGGACCCCTCCCGCAAGGACGAAGCAAAGGGGGGGACAGTGGTTCGCGTGCCCGGGAATGGTGCCAAAAGCCAGAAGCAGCGAGACCTGCATGCATCCACAAGTTATTCACAGAGTGCCCTGAACTTGGTTTCCCCCCCCCCCCTCCCTGTAATGCATGACATGAAATTAAACGATGAAATATCGCGTCTGAGAATAATACGTTCAAATATATATAAAGTGTCAAGTGCAGAACTCGCATTATTATCCGTGATCCTATTATGAACGGCTCCTATTATTTTTCCATTTAAAGCTTTCGTGACTGCAGGGATTCATCTTCTTGGTTCTTTCGGTAAAGTCACGTAGAATGGAAATAATAAAATAATACAAATTAAACATAACCAGTCTTCAGACTCTTCAGACTCTGTCTTCCCGACAGACCTGGTCTTCACCTGGTCTTCACCTGAGGACGGCTGCTTGCGTTGTGGCCGAAACGTCGTGAGAATTATTTTATTATGCTTTATTTTTATTATTTTATTATTTCCCTTCTACGTGACTTTACCGAAAGAACCAAGAAGATGACTCCTATTATGCGCGTGAGCTCTACGTTCTGTGAAAAATCCTACCATCCATGTCCGTATCCTTCCTCATTCGCAATTTTTCCCATCCTGCTTTGTAGAATATATTCTGATTATCCATACATTTAGCACAGCTAAGAGGAGTTCATCGGAAAATTTGCCCTGAGTATGCATAAGTTTTCCCACAGATCCTAAGAAATACCTAAAATGTGCCCCCCACATCACCACAGCAGAGAGGAGCTCTCCTGTATCACATAAATAAACTAATGTATTTAAATAATGCATGACCCGGCAGGTTTACATGTCTAAAGATGAGCATGTTATATATATAGTTTGTCAGGCTTTTTAGTTTCACTTTGTGGTTGCCTTCCATGGCTTCATTAGATCATTCATCGGGACCACTGTCTTAACTAAGATTGCTTTCTCTGACTGAATAGTAACAGCTCAGTCATGAATAAAGCATGCGTCACAAAGGCACAGGTCAATAAGATCATAAGATGCACACTGTGCAGTGCATATATGCATTTCCGCGTCTCATGTAATACAATTATTTTAGCTGGCATGCATAAGAAGACACGCTTCACATCAAAACATTTGACGTCTAAATACCCAATCAAATTATCGCAAGTTCACAGAGTTTCGAGACAACAGTGCTCACCATCGTCAGCAATATTTGCTCACAAAGCAATCAATAAAACGGACGCACGCGCAGAGCCTCAATGCAACATCAATAGGTTGAACATCTTAGAGAGAGTAATTTATCCTTATTAAGAGGTGAATTTCGGAGAGTGTCTTTCATCGTCAAAAACATTTTGCAGAGAGCTACGGGCCAGCGGACACCCAAACTGATCCGCGAGCGGCGCGACTTCACACCGACTGTCGCGTTCTGTCAAAACCATATTTTTTTTACCGCAATTAAACTCAAATCGCTAGAATATTACCTTTGTCGCGCGAGTTGCATGTTGCGCTCGCGACCACGCAACTGTTGAAGATTTGCAGAGTGTCATTTTATTCCGGCAAAAAAAACCCACCATCTTCTTGGTTCTTTCGGTAAAGTCACGTAGAAGGGAAATAATAAAATAACACAAATATAACATAATAAAATACAATTCTCACGACGTTGCGGCCACAACGCAAGCAGCCGTCGTCAGGTGAAGAACAGGTCTGTCGGAAAGACAGCGTCTGAAACTTTTCCGACAGACCTGTTCTTCACCTGACGACGGCTGCTTGCGTTGTCGCCGAAACGTCGTGAGAATTGTATGTTATTATGTTTTATTATTTTATCATTTCCCTTCTACGTAACTTTACAGAAAGAACCAAGAAGATGAATCCCTGCAGTCACGAAAGCTTTCAATTGAAAAAAACACCACCACTTACGCTTCAAAAATCAAACAAACAGCAGCAGCAGCAACACCATACCTCGAGATACATCGTAGTGGTCTCCAGCCCACGCTCCCGTGTCGAGGAGCAATTTGGAGGCCGCACTTTGCACACTCCCCGATGGCCTGCATCAAAATGTCACCGGGAGATCTTCGCGCAGCCGTCTTTAGCTATGCGCGACGTAATGAATTATACATGGAGCCCGTTTAAATAATGAAACACTTGCACGGCGACTCTCGCGTTACGGAATTTAACTTTAACGTGATCACACGTGGTAAGGGTGCTCAATGAAAGCCGTGTGAAATCAAACCACTTTTCTCGCGCTCGTCACTTTGTTGCGTTTCATACGAGTCCCATGATCGTCAACAGCCAGGGCTGCAATTGCTTTGCTCACACCACTGCTGATGGAAGGCCCTTCACAAAAAGGAAGGTCTAAAGCCCCTCTAGAGCAGTGGTTCTTAAGCTGGGGTGCACGGCACCCTCTGGAGCTGCGAGACGTGGCCGGATGGTTTTTAGAAGGTAAATCGTCGAAATACCTAAATTAAGCAAGGGCAGCTACTTTGTTTCATGAAGCCTAGATATGTATTAACATTATATAAGAAAACAATACTATTGAGAATCAAAGGGGTGCAATTTTGCAGTGAAGACTAAGAACCACTGCTTTAGATGCACGCATCGTCACGACTTAGGGTAACTGATTATAGTGTCTGAAAACTAGCACAATTAGTTGTTTTTTTATGATTCTGCAACTACTTAGTATCTTCTCTTGGTGAGCCAGAGTAATGTGGGAAAGGGCATGATCATACTTCACCACACTGGTAGGTAGTGGGGGTTGGCAAGGATAATGTTTCACTCACACAGAGGTAACCCCCAAGACCACCACCTAGAATATGAATTATTTAACAACAAAAAACCCGCTGACATTACTCATTCGTCACAGTAGATGGCAATTCAAATACTTGCAGAAAGTATATATTTGTGTACTTATTGGTTCTTTCGGTAAAGTCACGTATGTAGAAATAAAATTACATTAAAATAGATCTCGACGTTTTGAACGCAACACAAGCGCTCGTCCTCAGGTGAAAATTACATAAACCACACAGTGAAGGAACACACAGAGGGACATCACACACAGATCACACAGAGGGACATCGCACACAGAGCACACATCACACACAGAGAGACATCACACACAGAGCACACAGAGGGATATCACACACAGAGGGACATCACACACAGAGAGACATCACACACAGAGAGACATCACACACAGAGCACACAGAGACATCACACACTGAGCACACAGAGGGACATCACACACAGAGGGACATCACACACAGAGCACACAGAGAGACATCACACACAGAGAGACATCACACACAGAGCACACAGAGACATCACACACAGAGCACACAGAGGGACATCACACACAGAGGGACATCACACAAAGAGCACACAGAGAGACATCACACACAGAGAGACATCACACACAGAGCACACAGAGACATCACACACAGAGCACACAGAGGGACATGACACACAAAGCACACAGAGGGACATGACACACAGAGCACACAGAGAGACATCACACACAAAGCACACAGAGAGACATCACACACAAAGCACACAGAGGGACATGACACACAAAGCACGCAGAGGGACATCACACACAGAGCACACAGAGAGACATCACACACAGAGGGACATCACACACAGAAGGACATGACACACAGAGCACACAGAGGGACATCACACACAGAGCACACAGAGAGACATCACACACAGAGGGACATCACACACAGAGCACACAGAGAGACATCACACACAGAGGGACATCACACACAGAGCACACAGAGGGACATGCCACACAGAACACACAGAGGGACATCACACACAGAGCACACAGAGAGACATCACACACAGAGGGACATCACACACAGAGCACACAGAGGGACATCACACACAGAGGGACATCATACACAGAGCACACAGAGGAACATCACACACAGAGAGACATCACACACAGAGAGGCATCACACACAGAGCACACAGAGGGACATCACACACAGAGAGACATCACACACAGAGAGACATCACACACAGAGAGGCATCACACACAGAACACACAGAGACATCACACACAGAGAGACATCACACACAGAGAGGCATCACACACAGAGGGACATCACACACAGAGGGACATCACACACAGAGAGACATCACACACAGAGGGACATCACACACAAAGCACACAGAGAACGACAAACTGCACGGAGGCAAATGCAGCAAGAAGATGGGAGACGCGAACTCAACAAACCTTGATCTATTTTATTTTTTATTTTATTTCTACAAACGTGACTTTAACGAAAGAACCAATGAGTATAGTAATTCCTACAGTCACGAAAGCTTAAATCCGAGATTTATATATTTGTGCTTTGTTGAAAACAACTTTTTAGCTTTGGTATAGATTTTTTTTAATGAACATTATAATTGCATGTGTACTGTATAGTATGGTTTTGTGCAATAAAATAATTCTGATGCTGTGATTGTTTCATTTCTTATTTTTCTACAAAAAAAGACTTCCATGACTGCACATATGTTGACAACCACACGTTGAAAAGTACGTCCCGTTACCAAAATCATTGATGCACTTCTATAAAACACCATTATCAATGGATGGTGATGATGGTTTTGTTTTTTTCACTTCAGAGTGTAGCAATGCCGAAAGGCGTGGAGCTTCTTCTGACACCCTTTGACGAATTCAAAATGTTTCCTTTCACAAACGATTCATTATCATCAACGAAGGCACTCCCACGACGCAAAAACAATCCACCAAGCCCACGTGCATCCGAGCAGATTAAACACAGCAAACTCCACGAAAGCACTATCCTATGCAGCCCCACATCGACACGGTGAGGAGTACGTGTCGTACCAAGTATAGATTGCGCTAAATAAAACACCGCCATTTAGACATTATTCTGACGTAGTCATGCATATGGCCCTTCTAATGATCATAAACATACATTAAGAGCGTCTCCGTTTGGCATTGCAAATCATTGCAGGTGATTAATGTTTCATGAAACACGATGCGCGCTAATTATTAATTAACTTCATCACTGCAACGTGACTACGCTGAGAGTGTCAATTACCCCGATGCACAAGATCCATCGTTGATAAGCTGCGTGCTGTATAATTTATACACCTAATAGTTAAGAGAGCCAGACATCTTACACTGTGGTTAGAGCTGGGGCTCAGTGCAAGAGTCGGTTCCGGAAAAGACTTTTTTTTGTAACAGTCAGTGAACTCGAGGAACGACAGCCCCGTGGTGCAACGGTGAGCACAACGAACCTGCAATGAAGAGGTCGCCGGTCATATTCTTGTTTTTATAAGTTTGTATAGTTTTATTTGGGTGATTTTGAAGACGTTTTGGTTTAGCCATGTTTGTTTGTTGTAGTACAGAGTTAGCCTGATAACGTAAATCTAAATTGTCTTATGGTTGTTATTGTTTGACTTGCATCCCAACTGGGATTTTTTTGCACGCAGCGTTGAAATGCGGTGTTTTTCTGGAAGACTTTGCTGTCTTTTCCTCGATTTTTCTCTTGCGTGGAGTCACTTTAAGATGTTTCTTGTTCATGATTTTGTTTGTTGCGCTTGCACCCGAGTCAAGAGCCACATGGCTCACAGGGTTATACCTCATAGATGAAACTGAAAAACTGAAAAAAATACGAATTCCCGGTGTGGCAATTGAATCAATGGTGCACAGTTATGAATTAAATCCTCCTGCTTCTGTGTACACAGCAGTGACTTCCACCTCTTCCGAGACGTCCGGCCAGCGTGGAAGAGGAGGCCAAAAGCTTCTAGTGGGAGCTCTCTAAAGCCCCCGCTCTCTAGAGCTCCCTCTCGTCGAGAGCCTTGCGGCAGCAGGCGTTGAGCAAGACATTTCAGGGCCGCACCTTTACCCTCACCTTCAATGTACCGCAACGAGAGATGCAACATGTTTACTCACTAAGCTAAACCATTACCAACAGTTTTGTTGTAATATCATGCACAGAGGGTTCGTATGCAATTTTCTTGCTGCCAATTTATTTAAGACTATTTTGGGATTTGAGTGCAAAGTGGCTACACAATAATGGCTAGACAGCCGTTAATAAGTTATGGGAGAGTACAAGGTGAACTTACTATAACCACATCAAGGTACGTGTCCCGATTTGTAGAAAATTGGTGCAATTATGGCACTGTGGCTCTTTTTGATTGCACAGTAATAGAAAATGACATCATCTCCAGGTACAAAAGAAGTGGCCAACCTACAGGGGTGGTCCAGATGTCCTGGGACTCCATTTGATCCTCGAAAACGCTATATGTTTTAAGTATATATATAAAACAGAAATAAATATGCAAAGTAAAAACTAAAAGCGAGGGGTAAATTAATCGGGGGTCACAAGATATTTGGTCCACGATATACAACGAATGTTTTTACCAAATGTAAGAGTACCCTCTTTAGCATGGGAACTTATAACGTCGGTATGACACATTCTATGGAACGGACACTGGCCATGCAATCCAGGTCACCCGGTCGGCAGTCAAAACAATTGTTCAAGATTCTTCAGCACCCTGCCCACCTATCTCTATCTCTGTCCACCCGAACAATGTAACTGAGTAGCTTCGTGTGCCGAGGTCAAATATGGGTAATCCCACCTCTTTCTCGACAGTCTGGCCAAATGACTTTCTCTGGAAGGGCCCCTCTTTAGAGCTCCCTGCAGGTGAAGCCTATCCACTAGCAGCGATGATGACGGCAGCAGGCAATTGCAGAGCTGCACCTTTCCTTCGTTAAACTTTAGAAATCTTTTCTAGATTTGAAGCTTTCGTGACTGCAAGGAATCATACTCTTAGGTTTTTTTCGGTAAAGTCACGTAGGTAAAAAATTAAAATTAAAATTAATAAAAGTAACAATAGAAATATTTTATTTTATTTCTATTATTACTTTAGAAATCTACTTTTTTTCAGCTACTGCTGCTGCTACTGCTCAAGGGATGTCATGGTTTACCTATGAAGCAAAATAACGCTGGTGATAATTTCACATGACCAATGAAGGAAGAGCAACTCAAAGAGATTCCCTTCTCGGTGACATCGCCATTCAATTGCTCTGTCGTGAGAGTTTGTGAAAAAAATGACGTTGCACTTCAACGATGGGTCACGTGAGGCATGAAGTTTCCCCAGTAAAGGACTGATTTACATGCTGTTCATCACACATTACAGGGACTCTTCTACTTACGAGCATTAGACTTACGAACTTTCAGAGGCATGAACACACCTGTCCATATGTCCAGTTGCCTGTTCGGACCGAGAGTCGTAAGTTTAACCGCCGCGCAATAGATGGCGGTGGTAGCATCTACGTCTGCAGAACATGAAGAACCAGTGGCATCTACGTCTACAGGAGATTATACAACTTTTAAAGACATTCCCTGTGTTTAGTGTGTTTGGAATCGACAGGAGTAAAGTTGGACTTGCGAACAAATCGACTTACGAACAGACCTCTGGAACCTAACCCGTTCGTAAGTAGAGGAGTCCCTGGACGGTACTAGAATCTTCGGCAGTTTGTCAAGGGCTTTATCACTGGTTAACGTACATTCATAATAAGCAGACTCCCTTGGCAATCCACTGCTGGATTAAAGCTGCCCCAATGCCATTTGGCTACAAGGGGTTGTTTTTCCTTACCTCCTCACCAAATTACTCGTGCTGTCTCGTTTGATCATATTGGTGGAATGTTCAATGGAACATTCAAATAAATCAAAAGTAAATTTGGTACAGCAACAAAAAAATAACAAGCACAAAACCGAATAAAAATATTAACTTTCAAATATGTATATTGAACAAACTCCACTATATATTGCTCCAAATGGGAGTAAAATGTTTGCAGAGTAGAAATGTATTTTTCTTTTTAAACATTTACTTGCACAGCATAATAGAAAGCCCCCTCTAGTGGTGGAGGCTACAAGGACACAATTCAGTCCCAGGGCATTGGCATTGTGGGCTCTGCAATCTAACACTGTCACCGGAACATTCTTGGCAATAGCGTTTCCTAGTTTCAATGAACAAAATATAGAGTCTTCTATATCTAATTGGCTATTTTAACAACTACGTACAACTTGGTAGATCACCAGGGATAACATAAAAAGGGACGTAGCTGATGATAGGTGCTTGGTGATGCAACATGTTAACAGCGTTTAAATTATGCTTCTCTTGAAGTACGGTAATCCAGTTACTCTAATTTGCAGGCAATTTGGTTCCAGGAAAATTATAATTGGTATAACTACACACTTTACATCAACTGGCGCTGTCTTTAATGCAACCTTGACCCAGGTTTAGAGATGTCAATGTCAGGTGTTAGACTGGACCCAGTACTGTATGCAACGCATTTCCGCAGGCATTGAACATGATGAAACATAGCTCTCTGAGTACAACAAAGTCAGTTAATGAGTATTTTTGTCTCTATTTTACAAGGAGCTGTAAAGAGTGGTCCACATGTCTTGTGACCCCTATTTCATTCTCTAAAACTTTTTTGTATACCAATAAGTGTGAAAACATGAATAAGCAAAGGACTTTAATTGGCGATAACAAGACATCTGGACCACCATGTACAACCCTCACGTTTAATGAATGACCTGAATGTATGCATTCATTAGGGGCCGTCCATAAATGACGTCACGCACCTAGGGGGGGGGGGGTCAGACATTTGTGACGATGTGTGACGAGGGGGGGAGGTTGAGAAATGTGACGTCACATCAAAATGCGCCACTTTAAATAAATATAGACAACGCGTTCTACTTAATTAAATAGACTTTTTAATAAATGCTTTCTCCTACAACATCAGAGTGCAGCGCCACATTAAACACGCACTACAATGGCAATAGTTTAAAGCGATTTGTTTTATTTTCAAAATGGAAATGTGGTTTTTGGGGGGGGGGGGGGCAGAGCTTTGTGACGTCACATTTGAGGGGAGGGTCTGACTTTTTGCGACGCCGTGTGACGAGAGAGGGGGGGTCAAAAATCGTCCAAAATCGCGTGAAGTCATTTATGGACGGCCCCTTAATGTTTTTTCAATTGAATGTTAAGATGAAATGTTACATATATACACAGCACGTATGTTGCACACTTGCACTGTATATATGCCCTGTAACTCTAAAGCGCAAGCAGCTTGCAATAGAGAATTGAGATAATAGCTTACAAGGAAATGAGTGAAAAGGGGGGTTGTAGCTTATTAATAAAATAAAACTGGAAATTCTACTAAATAAATACATCAGTTACACACATATGCAAATATTTAGTGTGTCAACAGTATCCATTTTGTGACACGTTATAAAAAAATTGGCAATGTAATTTCATAACAACCGATCCAAAAGCAAAATATGATTACTGCAAAGTTAGTCACATAAATAATTGCCTTTGCCTAATACACTTACATAAAATTCACGAATCCACGACTGGTTTTGAGTAACAGTAGCCGTACGTGTATTAAACAAAAGGTAGGAGTCGTGTTTCGATGAATGGCACTGGAGGCACGCATGCTACAGACCCACGTCTCACAGAGCCGCCGTTGACGTGTCCGGCCCTCCTGTTTCACCTCACAAATATGCCCGATCCCAACAATGACACCGATCTGTGACTTCCTGCTGCTGCTGCTGTTGGGTAAATTGAGCCACACTGCAAAAGAAAGCATACTTGTCCACCACACCTCTTTAGACAACATATCAAACTACACCAGGCGAGAGAACACGCCTTACAGTCGGAATCCAGCTTATTTATGTCAGCCAGAAAATTCTGACAATCATCATCGTCCGGTAGATTTCCTTTACAAAGGGCCAGATTTTCGGAACATTTTAAAATTATACTCTGGACATAATACCAAAAAAAAATAAACTCGCAATCGTATGACACCTTAGATTAAATAATGGAAAACATAAATTAATTGTCACGAAAGATGACGCCAGTTGAACAATGCGAAGAGGCACTAATCGAACACACAATGGACACTTCTCTCTGTGTGTGTGTGTGTGCGCGATGCGTGTGATGGAGGGACCCAGTGGGAGTCCTATTGTGCAGGAATAACTTTGGAGTCGAAAGAGGAGGCAAGCTGCTGAGAAGACAAAACGAACCGGCACGCGCCTCGACACACCTCTATCTGCTAATGAATTCATCTCGGAGAGAAACAAAAAATCTTTTATGAAAGCTACAGATCCCCTCACCTGTTTAGAATTCCCCCCCGGGGTAAAAAAAAAATTAATAAATCTGACAATCCGTTGTTGATGGATCATCATTCTTAACTTTTTTTTTGTCATGTACAAAAAAAAAATCTATGGCACTATCGCTCCACCCATTCACCCCCACCACCCCTGCACATGAAGCGTCTCAGCCAATGGAACGATCACAGGTTTTTTTTTTTATCCTCCCCCCTGTCACACACGCACACGCCGAAGCCCTCCGGGTCAGTGTGCGACTTGATTTAAAGTAAGACGGGAGGAGGTCTTGTCGCGTTGGGTTAAAAGAAGTTGCGCGCACGCGTGTGTTTGTGTGTGTGGAAGGATCCCAGGCACACCAAGAGGGCCACGTTCGATCGCTTTGCTGACAAGGGGCAGAGCGGGTACGAGTTGATTTATCATTCGCGTGCCGCCACAGCAGGATCATAACCAAGTCCCCAAGTTGCGCACCACCCGCGCACTGCTACAACAACAACTACGACAGATCAGATCAAGTTTGAACTACTACAGACTTTCCTCGTCGCAGAGTTTGTGGGGTTATTTTTCGGGGAGAGTGGGGAGCGTACGCTGTTTTTGTTTCATTTGGTATCTTTCGGCGACGGAGGTGGTGCATCACCTCGACTTTGTGAGATGCTGGCAATGGCAGAGTGGCTGCTCCCAGCAGCTTTAAGCGAGGAGGCGTCATGGCTCACGGTGTCGGACGACGAGGAGATGCCAGTGTCAAACTCGACATACGCGCAGGCGACCGCGACGTATGCCTTGCCGTCAACCACCGTCAAGATGCAATGCTGGGCTCAAGTCAAGTGAGTGTTTCTCTCTCTCTCCTCGCCGGCGTAAAACCGCTTCCTTCCTTCCTTCTCTCTCTCTACCGATGTCAGTGATTTTGTGCGCGCACGGCGAAACACTTGCTCGAGTTAAAACAAACGCGTCGCTGATGGTTAGCGAGGTTTATAAAACGGGAAAATTACGCCGTGGAAAGTTGTCAAAACGTGGACATTTATGAGGCTGTATTTTCAGTAGATGTGTACTAAGTGTAAATGAATTAAACTAGTGAACTTTACACTACATATCAGGCAAACATTTTGTCATCTGGATTTATTATACGTGCAGAAAGTTCATTTAATGTTTATTAAATGAGGTTAGAACTATCATTTCACGCTCGGTGCGCATTAAAATTATATCAATATGAAATTAAATATTTCATTTCAATACGTTGTAGATTTCCTTCAAGGTAAATTTAAAATACTTGCAGGTTTACATTTTAATAAAAAAAAAACTTTGTTAACCGTTGGGTTGGCAAGTAAACTACCCCAACGTGTCAAACGGGCGGAAACATTTATTATTTTTTTTCCCTTCCTCCGATTTAAAAACAAAAAGGGACACGGGGAGTTCACTTTAAGTTGACTCGTAGTAAAAAAAAAAGGTCACGAGCCGGTGAAGCCCTTTCAACAGACACTCTTGAGATAAAAGGCCACCAAAAAAAAGCGAGCTGACATACGGGCCAATTGTCATGTTAATTGTGCCAATGGCTTATTTGCTCATCCCCAATCACAGCAGCGGCCAGCTACGACGACAGAGTGAGCAGGAGGAGGAAGAAGAAGCAGGGGGGGAAGAGAAAAAAAATCATCCTCCAAAGCGCGCGTGCCGTCACAGCGATGGGGCCGTGGCGCGTGGCACCCGCTGGAGGGGGGCAGGTTGTCGTGGATTACTGGGTTAATGCGAGGGCAGATGGCAGCTCTATTGCTGCGGTGGGTCGCCGCTTGCGAGTTTCCGATTGGGATGAGGTGGTGGGGGGTGGTCTTGCTTTCAGCTGGGTAACCATGGCGCTTCCACAAAACAACGGGAAGCATTCCACCGGCACACGACACGACAGCTCTCGCGACATTTGGATGGCCCCACGCAAGCGTCAGGGGTTTTGTCGTCGGGGGACTGCCGTGGCGTTTGTTACCAACTTACACAAATCGATAATCGTCTTAAGGAGCCTTGGGCTGGCTTTTTTTTTTGGGGGGGGGGGGGGTTGTTTTGTTCTTCGGCAGAAACGTAACGCCGTCCGATGCAATATTATGCCAGCAATATATAATACGTGCAGTGTACATATTCAGTTTGGAAAATAGAGTGCTGAAAGTGGGCTTTGACAAACCACGTCACCTATGAAATAGGCAACGACCGATTGTGAAAGTACTGTATTGTGAACTGGCTAAAGATCAAACGCCAGGGGTCTTCTCCCTGTATAAAGCAAGCATGCATCCGTGCTCATGGCCCTGATCCTTTGTTGGTCATTCCACATTCCCATGGCAAGGGGCCAGTCTATCTATTGGGCAACTGTAACATTCTACACAGTTGTGCCTTTCTTGTTGTTAGCAACCCTTGTTGGGATTATTGACCGAATTGATTCCAGCGGGGATTTGAACCCAGATCATTATGATTGGAAGCGCTCTGCCACAATGCAACCCAGCCATATACTACAAGAACAATGCAACCCAGTTAATGTAAACAATATTCCTCCGAACGGGCAGTCATCCTCCCCTTTGTTACTGGAGCAGGAGTAGTGATGCAGAGGCATGAGCGAGTTGCACTATGCCGGTTGCATCGTGCCGAGTACAATGGTGGCCGTATAGGTGCCCGTACGCGAGCTCCATAGAATCCATTCCCAATGGAATGAAGCCGTCCATCCCCACCCAATGGGATCCTTTAACACGGTGCGCAGAGACACAGGGCAGTGCAGAAAAAACTGTTGTTGTGCTGTACTTCTGGGCTCCCACGTCCATGCTCCACACCTGACCAAGGCGGTGAGATATGGTCAGATAACCTCCACCCACCTGTATGGCGTTGCGAGGCCCTCATCCAGCAGCAGAATGACAAAGGGCTGTACATGTAAAATATAAAGGTGCCGCCCTGCAATTGCTTTGCTCACACCACTGCTGATGGAAGGCCCTTCACATAAACGCAGCTCTACAGCCCCTCTAGAGCAGTGGTTCTTAACCTGGGATGCACGGCACCCCCTGGGGGTGCGAGACGTGGCCAGATTTTTTTAGAAGGTAAATCATCGAAACACAAACTAAGCACGGTTAGTACAACTACTTTGTTTCATCAAACTTATGTATTTATTAATATACATGTTTTAAAGAATGAGAACCAAATGGGTGCAAGACTACAGTAAAGGTTAAGAACCACTGCTCTAGAAGGTATTTGGCCTACTCTTCCATGCTGGCCGAACATCTTGGTGGGTATACCACCACACTTTACCCCATAAAACGTTTTGACTGCGGGTGTACCTATTTATACTGCTGGGTGGACAGAGTCAGAAGAATTTCTGAATTTTTTAATTTTTTTACTTGCACCATTGTTTCAGCTTGACCGACTTGACATGTACGTGTCCTGTACCTTTTTTTCGTCCCAGGTCAGACATGGCCAGGCTGGACACGCTGCCTTCCCTGCTGGAGTGCGGAGGGGCAGTGGCGCCCGGAGACACAACTTGGGCCACGTGCGGACAGGCCGGCGAGCCCAGCCCCGACTACCCGCGCTACCGGCAGGAGGGACCATGTGGCTCAAAGACCGGTACGGCCACTCAAACGATTCAAGCGTGGCCTCTGTGACGGCAGCTTCGTAGATTGCCCGGTGTGGCTATCCGCGAGTAGGCCGTCGTCCGGCACGTATTTTCATCGTGTGCGCGTCAGCGTGTTGTTGACACGTAGTGGAATCGTGGGGGAGTGGGGGGAGGCCTTTGTCCAGCAGTGGATTGATCATGGCTTATGATGACGATAATGGTGATGTTGATGCAGATAATATGTTATGTGTCAGTGGTACCAGAATTGCAGTTTTTTTTTATGAGATAGTGTACCTTGATTGGTCTAGTATGCAAGAGGTTTATCATTTGTTTACCGTGTTGGTCTTTGGGTGCGAGTCGTCTTTCGTTAGATTATAAACATTGTACATTTGAGTTGTTTTGCTTATTTTACAGTTTACTGTAATTGGCCTTAAAATATGAATACGGATGCATTTATAAATCATTTGAATAGCGCATAATAATGGTTAATTTTATATAAAAATATATATTATTAAAAAAAAACAATAAAAAGATCTCTACCTATAATTAAACAGATACTATTCAATTAGGACATGCATCGATAATCCTGAGCAGAATTTAACATTTCATAGCGGTAGGCACATTTCTACATGCTCATGACCCTTGTTGCTATGTAAAATTTAATTGCTAATGTTCTGCTGGTAATTGGCAAGGGTGGAGTAATATGAACTTTCTCTAATAACTGTTAAACCCAGGGTGTATCATAGCTTTTAAATAAACCATTATTCCGGTCATTCTCATTATGGTCTATTTTACATCTCTTCTCACAGTCAGATGAGATTCTAAATTGGGATTAGCTTAACAAGAACGAATTAACCCAATTTTTCCTCCTACGTGCCACGACTAAATGGCAGTTTTGACCGCTCAATTGTATTTAAACACCTTCATTGTGCTTAAGAGCAGAGTGGCATCATAAGTTTAGGCGATGAGATTTCAAATAAAGGAAAACCTCAACTCTTTACACACTCGCATATCTGACTACTTTTTTTGCTTAAAACTGTACAATTAATTAAAATTAAACATTTGTACAGCTTTAAAAGACAAAATTGCTAATAGGCAAAAAAAATTCGAATGGCTACTGCCATTCGCCTGACCTTCACCAAAGGCCCTGGTTAACCCCCTACACTTTCCCCAACCTCCCCTCTGCATTGTCATCTCATCGTCACCATCATCATCATCGTTACCTCATCCGCTCATCGCCAACTGCCAATTCAAGCCCCCTCACTCGGCGCGTCACCAGCCCTTGGCGGTGCCTCCGTTTGCGATTCTCCCTGTGCCTCGTTGACGTCATTCAACCCACACTGCGTCCCTCGCTCACCCCACGTGACATTCGTCCTCGGTGGTCTTCGTCTCTCACGAGCCCCATGTCGCACTTACCTCGCGTCTTGCTCGCTCTCCCCCCCCCCCCCAACAAGCATCTTATCCGGGAGGGGGGGGGGGGCTGAATGCAAAAAGGGTCTCACCGTCCAATTTCCCCTCTCTTTGTAGCTCAACTCCTGGGCCCCTCTGGCCCGTGAGTGCAAGTGCAGTTGCACCGCCTGCACACTCGGCAGCTATTGCCACTGCCCCTACCGGCCCCCCATGCATTCTTCAGCTGCCGCTAATAGATTGACATGGGAAAAAAACTATTCACAAAAAGGGGGCATACTAGTCGTAAAAGGGGCCTCCCAGGATTAGTGTAAAATACATGAGATTTGCCTTCCTTACAACTGCACTTAGGACCTTGAATGTGCATTAATGCAAAAATAGTTGTTCTAGATTTGTTTAACATTTTCTAAGCGCTTGAGCATTTTTGTTCATTAAAAGACTCCTTGCTTGAGAGTGCCTGTGCGACTTCACAGCAAAATAGATGTAGCTGGATGAAGGCCTCCCCAAACTATCACCGCCTCTCAGGATCCTGTGCCGTAACAATCTGCCTGGCACCTGCACACGAACCGATTTCATCGTTCCATCTCCTCGGTGAATGGCCATCCTGTCCTTAATGCCCTTAATGCCTACATTAAAAGCCATCGACTAGAACGGTACGCAATGACTAACAAGGTGGAAACACATTCAGCACGAGTAACCAATACAATTCGAGTTTCAACGAAGGTAGTTTATAGGTATACGAAACATGAGGCATAATGGTGTTCATTTTCAATGACAGCGCTGTACTTAACCAGTCACCTTAAAAGTGCAACAGATGTTGGATTTGGCAGGTGTCAAAAGGTTCGCAGTCCCAACCTTTAAGGAGGAGTGGCAGTTATCTTAAGCTCACAGGCATTGTCATGTGTTGCTTAATTGGCTGTGACAATTTCTGCTCAAGTCCCTCCATACAATCAGTACGATCCAAGGCAGAGAAGAGGAAAAAAACGACTTCCATTGCTGGATTCTTTTTCTTCATCCAGAGCTTCTACAATGACAATTGTAGTTTAAATTTCCAAAATTGCTGTCCTTTTACTCAGTAATGTGGTATGTGACATTAAGATTGCTGTAGTGATGCAAGTGGACTTCTCTCTCTCTCTCTCGTGTTGTTCAGGGTCCGTTAAAAAAAACTGTACATTAAATACGTATACCAATAATTTATGATGAACGCATCTTAGTTAGATACTTAACACAAATAAATAACTACCTCTCATGCACCCAACTGATTAATCATGACGACTGCACGTCGAAATTTTTTTAGGTAAAAACAAACAACAGCAAAACAACTCGGGTATACGGCCTACACATATATATATAATACTCGGACACACCTGTGATGATGGGGAACAGAATTATAAAGCTTGTCAAAATTTCATCAACTTGACAGGCTTTCACGGGCCGGACGCCCGTGGCGGTTGGGGTCAAGGCCGATCCAAGTCACGGTATTCATCTACCGCCTGCCATGTGCTCGCCTCAGAGTGTTGTAGCTCCACAGATCAGATCACGTTCCACACTTGCTAGTTGATGTACTTTTGACGCGAGTACACCCACTCAGTGTGGTGTGTATTTATCATTGAGTGGTAATGCTGTTACTGCTGCTGCTGCTTGAATGGAATCAATCACCGATGTTGACAATGATATGCATCACCATCGAACAGGTCAGTTAGACGTTAGTAATTGTAGAGTTCACCACGTTTGTTAATTTTCATTATCCACGTGGCTCTGTGGCGAAGCAAGCCACTCGTTATGGGAAGGTTGCGAGTTCGGGTCCTTGTTGCAGGTTGACTCGGCATATCATCCATCGAGGGTCAATAAAATTAGTACCACTTTGTGGGTAAGTGAAAAGTAGTTGTCCCATGAATAGACTCGCTCACTCAGTAGAAATGTGGAATTTCCAGCACTGGGTGAGGGCTATGAATAAGGTTTGAGCATCACCTCATTGCACATTTGAGCAGAAAAAAAATCACCGAAATAAATGCATAATGCGTTGATTCATTGCTAAAAATATATATTCTTACACTAATTGAGACACATTGAATCGTGCTTGTGAAATGTTATTATTGACAATTAATGCAATTAACATGCCAATACAGTTTTACATGTAGACTAATGGAGCGATCAAAACAGTATACAAAATAAAATTATAAAAAAATAACTAAGAACAACTGGGATGGTGAAAAAATTGAGACGGAAAAATTATTTGTTGCATTTCCTTAAATCGCTGCGAGGGGTCGGGGGGGTCAGTTATTTCGATGTATACTTTTTAAACACTGTGCTTTAGAAGAGGAAGAAAAGCAACTTGCGGAGCGTCCTATATTCGTATTACTCTTAGGTTTATTTGGTAAAGTCACGTAGGTAAAAAATAAAAGTAAAATTATAGGTGAAATTCTTCCCCGTAGAGGGTATTAATTCTAGATTTGAAGCTTTCGTGACTGCAAGGTTATACTCTTAGGTTTTTTCGGTAAAGTAACGTAGGTAAAAAATAAAATTTAAATTATAGTATAACTAAAATTATAGTATAACTATACTATAGTATAACTATAATTTTAATTAAAAAAATGTTTTTAATAAAAATTAAAATTATAGTATAACTAAAACTATAGTATAACTATAACTTCAATTTTATTTTTTACCTATGTGACTTTACCGAAAAAAACCTAAGAGTATGACCTTGCAGTCACGAAAGCTTCAAATCTAGAACTATATTCGTATTGCTATGAAGTGGCACGAGCACAAAAAAATGGCTTGCCTCTGTAAATGGTAATTTTGTCCATTTTTGGGAATAATTCGTTTTTAAAGAGGCGGTTCATTACATACGCCGCAATCGCCCCACTTTTGGGAAGCTGTGGCATAAAAAAAAAGCATGACACCGACTCACGTGAGGAATATCTGCAATGCTTCCTCCCCAGCGCATTTGCCACCGGACACTAACCGAGGCAACGCGGCTGCGATTCTTTCTATTTGGACAACTCTTTAGGAGCTTGTCGTTCTACCAAACACATGCGCATAACGGAACGAAACATCAATTGTCAATCCATTCAGCTTGATTCATTCAAGTACATCGCAAATCAAAATAACAATCCAGCAGCAAACTTTGAAAGATACTCAACTTAATTTGTTCAAGGAATGTATATAGGAATCCAGGCACTTCAACTTTGTCGATGCTGTTCAAAATTGTTCACAAATTGTTATTCTCATACCTCAAAGCATGCATGCTCCCCAACAATTGTGACAGTACAATAATAATCCACTTGTTAGAAAGAACGTATAGGATTAAATAAGAGTATTGCATACACGTGTACGTATGTATGTATGTATGCAGCCACAGTGTACACCTGGAATGCGTTGATGATGATCATGTAGTTCCAACCATCACTTATCCATTCTATGCAAAGTAGAACGGGGGGGAGGGTGGGGTGCTCAGGAAGCACAAATGAACAACTCTAACTCAGTTAACTTGGGGTACAGTAGTCGATGTTTTGAAAAAAACAATCCACAAGATTTAATGAACAGGAAGGTAAATGTTATGGATTACCTTCTGAGCAACGACTTCCCTTCTTAAGAGATCCCTACCGATTCACAGTCCCAGACCGCACTTTACACCGAGGGGTTCCGAGAAAACCAGGAACGTTTTGACAGTCAAATTAATATTTTTTTCTTGTCATGGATAAATGCGCTTCCTTGTAGAGTGCAGGTAGTCGACGGACCCATACAAAAGTGGAACTGAATACTACAGCCGTGCAATGGTTATCACACTGGACTTGCAATCCAGGGGGAAAGGTGTCCTCAAATTCCTTCCCACCTCTGTCCACACAGCAGAATATGTCGGTGCTATTACAGTGGTCCAGATTACTTGTGACCCCCCCCCCCCCCTCCATTTAAATCTGCGAAACGTAACATTTGTAAGGGTTAAATTTCGATTTAAAGCTTTCGTGACTGCAGGGATTCATCTTCTTGGTTCTTTCGGTAAAGTCACGTGACTTTACCGAAAGAACCAAGAAGATGTGTAAAGGTTATTTAAAACGGAAATTAATATACAAAGAAAAAAATTCAGGTTCAATTAATTGGGGGGCTGGGGGGAGTCACAAGACACCTGGACCACCATGTACATGACTGTCGATTCCCAGGTCAAATTGTGGTTGGGGGTAAAGTATGAGTACTCCTGTCTCTTCCATAACATCCGACCAATAGTGTGGAAGAGTAGACCAAATGCCCTATTAGGCTCCCTCAAGTGGTGGGCCCTGCAGCCAGCAGTTTGGCGTGAGAAAGTAATTACAGGGATGACTCCTCAACCTTCACCATTGCTCAGTGTAACTATCATCACCGGTGTCCCGGACCTCCAGGAGACAATAATGAGGTTAAGTCATGTTTAAAAAATCTTACTGTACGTTGTACAGTAATTGCTATTTCGTGTAAAGCATTGTCTAATTGGTAAGTAAAGGCAATTAGGGAGGATGTATATACAGTGTTTAAATGTAATTAAGTGTGCTCAACTTTAAACCGGAGGGTTCTTTAAAAAAGAAAACGTATTTAAATAACAGCCAAGATAAAAGCGGTGTTAAAAATAATAGGGTCAATGACTTTTAAAAGATTTAATCCATCATATTTTGTACAATTGAAAGCTTAGGATGACAGGTTATGGTAATACATTTTTATACAATTATTTTTGTTGGCCTAACTGGCCGGGAGGCTCAACGGCTAACCGATCTGCTCGCAATCGGCTCACAGTCAGAAGGTTGCAACTTCAATTCCTGGTCCGTGGGTGACTCAGCTCATCGTCCACTTTGTGGGGAAGTCAACAGTGGGTGGAGAGACTCACCCCCATCATAGTAATGTGGAATTGCCACCAAGTGGCACAGGGCTGTTCATGGGAGGAGAGGAGCACCATCTCATTGATCATCTGAGAAAAGAAAAATTACTTTTAACTTTTTTTTGTCAATTTCACGCAGGCCAACGAATTTCCTCGTGAGACAAGGACAAACCGAGTGGGGAAACGCGGTGCGTTGGGGATACGCGTGGGAAACAGATGAATGTACCACTGTAATTCCCATTAAAAAAACTAAAATGTGTAATATTAGAGTATTTAAGGGAAAACTACCAACGATTTGAAATAGAAAAAATAAAATATTTTAAAGGAACTCTTGCACAACGTTTGGTCCCATTCCTCAGATATAAATGTCAGAGAAAGTCCAGCCATTTAATGACGTTAACAGCTGGTGATGTTAACAGCTGTTTATCAATCACTGCAAAAAAAGGCTGTGTTAAAACCCAGCCAATTAAGATTAATTATTGGTTACACTGTGTGAACTGCACTTACAGGTCTCCAGAGCTCTCCTTCCACAACGAGAGATCACATTTCAAAATCGAGCTACATCCCACAAGCGAGCAACGCATTTCAGAACACGCACACTGATGGACTGCAAGGCGATGGGTGTCTCTCAGTACATTTGGTAAGTGTTCACGATTAGCTAAACATTCACATCTCCCAAATGACTTCGTTTTTCATGTTAAGTATACAAGGGGCTATGCAAAGGAAATGTCTTCGTTCAAGAGAAAATGTGATGATACATTCCCCCATCGACAGCCTCAAATTATCACACTGGTAATGATAATAATTAAAAGGTGATGAAGGATCTAGTGCATTCTTGACAGAGCGCCAAAAGAAAATGAAACACCATTAACTTAGACTCACATACGTTATGTGATGTGCACGAATTAGCGACATTAGCCAGTCATCGGCAGAAAATCTTTACGAACACACTACGTAGCCGTTTGTGAATCTGCTCCGTGGCATGTATTTGAAATCACGCGTTTTCGTTTGTTTCCCCCCCCCCCCCCCCCCCCACAGCAGAGAGATCAAGAGCTCTCGAACCAAAATGGCTACGGCAGCGACGCGATGTCCTGTGCAACCGGCAGCCTGCCCGGCACGCCCAACCTCGCCTACGGCGGCGCGCAGCAGATCTTCGACTTCCCGCCACTCTACTGCGCCGCGTCCGTGGACGCGCCGTCCTACGGCTCGGCCGACGCGAACCGCTCGCTGTACGGCGCCGCTGTGGCCGGCGCCGCCGCGCCGCCCCCCTACGAGCGATGCCAACTCAAGGCGGGGCCTGCGCTAGGCCACCAGTCCGCGGAGCACCTTGCGGGCCACGCGCCCACGCACTCGCCTCCGCCCTACGGCCTGCACTACCCGCGCCGGGCGCAGTCCTTGCCCGAGCCGCTGCTTCTCGTGTCGTTCGACGGGGAAGGACGCGCCAACTGCAGCACCGCGCCCCCGTACCACCAGGCGCCACAGGCAGGAGGGCAGGCGACGGCGGCTGCTGCTGCCCACAATGGCGGCTTCTACGGCGGCGGCCCCTTCCCAGGCGCCCCCTCCTTGGAGGCCTTTCAGATGAACAAGGAAACGAAGGTGAGATAACGGAGAAAGGCTAGAAGGGTTGTTTTTTTCTTTTTTTTGTATATACCACGTTTGATGAGCACGGGCACAAAAGGCTCAAAATGCCGAGTGGCCAGCAAACGAAGAAGTGGGACTGTTGAAGTTGGAATCCATGATCATGCACATGTTTCTAAAGTTTAGCGAGTTGATGAAGAAAACTTGATTCGGAGCTTTCGTGACTGCAGGAATTACTCTTTGGTTCTTTCGATGAAGTCCCGTAGAAAGAAAATTAATTAAGTAATAGAATACGACGTTTCGATTGCAACACAAGCAATCGTCTTCAGGTACGAATGAATGAAAAAACAAACCTAGTAAACTTAGAAATATCATGCAATACAACAACCCGGTTTATTACGTGATGAAGAAACTTGTGAAAAAGAAAGATGGGAGGGAATTGTAAAGCTGAGCAAGTCTGAGAAAAATTATTTTTTTATTCCTGCGATACGGTGGTTGAACACAGCATGGATGAACTGAAACGGTCTGGTAGACAGTTCTCAAAATGATCGATGGAATTAACGTGTAAAGTTTATGGGAATGTTTCGATTTAAAGCTTTTCGTGACTGCATGGATTCATCTTCTTGGTTCTTTCGGTAAAGTCACGTAGAAGGAAAATAATAAAATAATACAAATAAAACATAATATAATAATTCTCACGACGTTTCGGCCACAACGCAAAGCAGCCGTCTTCAGGTGGAGAACAGGTCTGTCGAGAAGGCAGAGTCTTCAGACCTGTTCTCCACCTGAAGACGGATGCTTGCGTGATAATTATTTTACTATGTTTTATTTTTATTATTTTACTATTTTCCTTCTACGTGACTTTACCGAAAGAACCAAGAAGATTTATGGGAATGAAGCCTCCACTCCCCCTACCCCACACCCCCACCCTCCCTGTCTCTCCTCCCCGGCTCCTCCCCCCCTTCTCTTGCCTATATGGCCTCTTGTTGCAGCAGCCCCTTTTGCCCACATGATGACGGACGCTTGTGTTGCGCCCGAAACGTTGGGATTTAATTTATTTTATTTTATACCTACGTGACTTTACCGAAAGAATGAAAGAGTAGTGATAGAAGAGTGGTGTGGAAGCGACATGGTGCTTGTTGATTGAGTGACCAGTAAGGAACAACAATGTTGCTAAATGAGTCATGGTGCTACGTGTCGTGATAAAACCAAGGGGCATTGTTTGCACGATATCTTGGTAATGTCCGTGCATTACTCATAAAATTAATGCCCAAATTCACCTGGGCAACTACAATAATGCATTCATTATCATTAAATGAATATACATTTGCTGTAATTGCATTAATAATTCCCCCCCCCCCCAAACAGACACAAGAATACAACATGGGCAGCAGAGTGGTGAATGGCAATTCAATGCATCCTGTGCCTCCGGGCCAACATCTAGGCTTCATGCAAGAGCAGCATCGCAACTACCTGCCTGTACAACAAATCCACGAGGTGCGTACAACAGAAGCATCTACGAACACGTGTACCCTGCCACACAGTGCACGCAAACCAACTCGACAGTGCGTACGGACAGCAGAGGTCGCAATCGGGTACCCGATACCCGTACCCTACCCGATACCCGGCTACCCGTACCCGGTCGGGTACGGGTACCCGTTTGCGACCCTGGTGCGGCCGGGTACGGGTACGGAAAGACGTGAGTCACCGGTGAGTCACCGTTTGTCACTCATTTCCCAACGTCTTGTCTCTTCTCACAATTCAAGTTCCTAGAATCAACCCACCCGCGCCTGCAACATGGCTTCATCCCAGAGGTCGCAATCAGGTACCCGATACCCGTACCCTACCCGTACCCGGCCGGGTACGGGTAGGGTACGGGTACGGCCGGGTACGGGTACCCGTTTGCGACCCTGGTGCGGCCGGGTACGGGTAAGGAATCAAAACCCGTTTGCGACCTCTGACGGACAGACCTCGGTCAATTCACTGCCAGATGTAGGCCTCCCCGTGCCGAGTTGGTCACGGCTTTCATTTCGCCAGACACCCCCGACGCTGGTTAGCCCAAGATCAGTTCCGATATTGCTCGCCACCAAATGCGAGCTGTCGCCACGAGTTGCCGCCGGGTTCACAGCGCGAGGGGTGCAGAAACCACTGGCGCCCGCCGCACCATGAACTTGCAAAGTCGAATCTTATGTTGGGTATGAAAAAAAACATTTGGCGACAAAATATATAATTCACAACTCGATTGTGTTCAAATTGATTTTAAATTGACTTAACGTAACGTGCCATGCTGGAATCTCTACACGATTTTATCAACAGATGTTGACAGAATTGCATGCACGTCGTTCCACTTTATAAAAAAAAAATAGGCAAACAAGCGTGGTGTAACGATGCAGTGGTGCGGGTCACCAGTATCTGTGCTCCTGCCCAACATCGAACCATTGGACTCACAGGAGGTATAGGGACTTCCCGACCTCCCTTGCTGCATAAGCAGGCGGATAAAGCTGAACTAATGATGTAAATATAAAATTGCATGTTGAACGAAAATTACATAACACAACATGGTTTCTTAAGCCGTACAGGATATACGTACAGTATAATACACAGTGTCGCTTCTTCTTTCATGCAGTTTTCCCATCGCTAACAACCGCCATTTAGCTCCGCGCAAGTATAGGGCTCATGCAAAGCATAGGGTTCAAGTATAGGGCTCATGTAGGGATGGTAGACGCGAGGTGTGGGAGGAGGGGGCCTGGGGTTGATGCAAAGATCACAGACCTGGTCCACAATGTGACCCTGTAATTTTGGCAGAGCCCAGATTAGGTGACATTGGATGACAAAGTCTTATTTCCCTAACCCAAGTCAGGACGTGCCACTCTTCCGATTTTGCTGATATCATTACAGGCCCTTTTTATCCTCCCGCTTGCTACCGACATCGGGGATGTATTCAGGTGGTCGATTTTACACTTTGTTGAAAGTGTATTGCGAAACAAAATATGAATCAATGTCATTCTCATTGTGGCTGTAGCAAGTTCTTCTCACTATTCTATGAATTCAACAATTCACGGTCACGATTCAATGTGGTCAGTTTTTTTTTATTGTGGTGAATTTAGCGGCATATAGTGTCTGGAGGGGTTAACACTGAACCCACCATTTCCAACCAATGGAACATGAATCGAAAAGCATCGATTTTCTCTCGCACGTGATCCTACACTTGTGCATTTAAATTCAACCGTAATATTTGACATTAATCCATGAACTGATGAATCATTCCAAAATAAACTGAATTCATAAACTGCATCCAGGAATGCTCGGTATAAAGCAACATCACGTTGGAAAAAAACGAAAATAAGATACGGCACGAGGTAGGAAACGTGTGGCCAATGGGCCTCACTCTCAGTCTCTTTGCATGATGTGGCAATCACCGACTCAGTACTTTTTGTATCGAGACGGTCTTTGAAGATGAGGATTAAACATTAGCTCGGGGTGGTTTGAATGGATTAAGGTGTCTCAGCGGGACACCTGCTCACCGAGAAAACCACATTTCATTACTCCGACATCAATGCCAATTTCTAACAAGATGAGAGACCGCTGCGATGTGGCACCAACATGTAAGAGATTAGAAAAAAAAAACCTGTCCAAAAACACGTACAAGTAAATGGTGTTTATACGATGTCATGGGGTTGGCTATGTACGGTGTGAAAGAAGTTAAACATACACAGTAAACCATTGAACCATATAGTAAACCACTATAGTTTGCGCCAGAGGTCGCAAACGGGTTTTGATTCCTTACCCGTACCCGAAATGAGTGACAAACGGTTACTCACCAGTGACTCACGTCCTACCCGTACCCGTACCCGGCCGCACCAGGGTCGCAAACGGCTAACCGTACCCGTACCCGGCCAGGTACCCGGTTGCGACCTCTGGTCTGCGCGTCTTCAACGGAAGAGGAATAGCAAAACTACGCGAATTCTCTCCTCAAGCCCTCTCGGCCTGGCTAGCAGACCTCGACATTGGCATTTAGCTCCCGCACACATGGCCGCCAAATGCAAGACGAGAATATGGATACGTTTCAACACGACAAAAACCGATGCAGCGTGCAGATTAAATACTTGCATCATACCTACAAAAGGTCAAACAACATTTCATTGCCAGTCCGTCAAAAAAAAGTTTGACGTCATCTTGCAGAGGCGTTTCCTTAACGCAGGGGTGACGCATCGCTCTTTGTAGGAGTTCCGAACAGAAATTAGCGACATGACACCAATGGGCAAAATAAAATAAAAACTGGAAAAAATCAATTACCAAACGCACTTTGTTTATGCAGGAAAGCCTTACCGACCCCTAATAAATGAACTTGAAACTTGAACTAATACTCTTTCTTAAGAATGGCCCTAAATTGGAATGTTTGGCCAAATTTCATTTATGAACGTTTGACAATCAGGTTTAACTCGTAAGAAACATCTTTGTATATTTACCAGAAAACTGAAATTCATGTATGTTTGTTGAACTTCTTTCACGCCGTACGTAGCCAACCGTACTAAAATCGGAGGTGTATGATGTGCTTAGCCTTGAAATGGTCAAATGTAACTATGTCACGTAACCCAAGCGTATTGCGATACGCGTGCCCGTCCGTGTCACAGCCCTACCCTGCGATGCGGCCGTACAGCAATGGCTATGCTTCCCACCAATACTCCCCTCACAAGATCCACACGATGCAAGGGCGCCAGCATAAAGTCTACCCCAAGCCCATATATTCCTACAGGTAAGGCACACATTACCTGTGGCCATATCACCCAGAATGCACCCCCCCCTCCCAATCTCATCATGGCGATTACGCACGCACTCAACGAGCGAATCGGCGCTTCGGGTGCGAAGCAGCTTCAAGGCTGGATGATGCTTGTACGGTGCTTCTATGGGCGACCGCCATATGGCGTAAAAAAATTCAAGTGTTGTGTACACGCTACGTTGCCATGTCAAGGGCAGTGCGGCAACGTCCATTGGGTCGCGCTGTGTGACATCCTCACAACGTCCACACTCTGAAGGCATCGACAAACCCGCACGGACCGGCGCGGTGAAATACGGTTGAATTACCGTCATCCATGAATGGATTGACGATAAGGGCTGCGCGCATAAGTTCATATGCAGAGCGACGACACACTCACTGATCCTAAGCCAAGCTTAAGAGTTTCCGGGACGAGATCGGTGGCTGTGTCTCTCTTCGCAGCCCGTAGCCACATACCAGATCGATGTGCTGCACTGTAATGCTGGGTGTCTCCAAAGGCTCAAACCAGTTTTCACTTCTGACCATTCCAGACCGAGTGCACACCCAGACTGGTTTTAGAGGTGAAACCAGTTTATGACATAACTGTGATGCAAGGAATAAGAATTATCAGGTAAACAGAAACAGAAAATCAGTCATTCACAGGTATAATAATAGGGTTGTTCTTTTTTCTGGCAATAAAACTGAAACCTTTTTACAAGGATGCATGTCTGCATTAACCACAATACTTGCAGTCAAAATGCAAACAAAAAACACACTATGATAATATATGCATTGTCCTATCATAGTGTGTTTTTGTTTGCATTTTGACTGCAAGTATTGTGTTGTCAGAAAAAAGGGGAAAACCCTATTATTATATTTTGGTACTGGCAAAGGAGGTCTAATGATGATACATTCACAGGTAGTTCCCAAAATGGGGCGTATAACAACGAGACAGCACGCAACTAAATTACTCAACTGAATTGCAGCAAATGTCTGTGAATGAAACCCGTCAGGAAGTATCGGCAGGGCCCCTCTGCAGGTGTCTCGGAGCACGATGATAAAGTGCCATTTAATTTGGGTGCGCACATGCACTTTTAAAACTGACGCATCGGGAGTGATGAATCGATAAAGAAACAATTTTTCACAGAGCTGTCTGTCACACACTCATTTGTATTGCATTAGCCATTCCATAAAATAAAGTACATGGGGGGTGTATGTGTGTTCTGCTTCAAGTTCAAGTTCATTTATTAGGTATAGCCCTGTGAGCCATTCGGCTCTTGAACCGGGTGCAACCGCAACAACAAAAAACAAAAACAAAAAAACATCTTAAAGTGAATATGTGACTGAGTGCAAACAGAAAATCCAAGAAAAGACAGCAAAATATTGCAGAAAAAACACCGTACACCAACACTGTGTGCAAAAATCCCAGTGGGATGCAAGTCAAACAACAACAACAAGACCACTATGATTAAGGCCATCAGTCTAACTGGACTACAACAAACAAACATGGCTAAACCAATACACTTTTCGAAATCACCAAAATAAAGCCATGAAAGCAATGAAACAGTGATCATAGGAACTGTGACGGGATTTTCACAATAAATAACATAAACAACATGTAATACCAAAACCCTGCAGCCATAGCTGGCGTGCGTGCGTGTGTGTACGCGTGCGTGTGTGTTCGCGTGCTCCACATGACCGGAGACAGCGTCAGTTGCTTAGCGCGCCACGTGGGATGTGTTAAACAATCATCGCGTGTAGCGTGGAACGAGTGCATTTGTATTTGAATGGGACGAGGAAATTGGTAAACGTGGAAAGACGTGGAGTGGTGAGTCGCAAGGACTGGAGTTTTTTTTTGGGGGGGGGGGGTGGTAGGGGTGAGCAACCACTAATACAAGCACACTTATAATATAAGCACACCTGGTCTCTCTGCCTAGGGGCGTACTGTCATCAATCTTAGACATTGCGATTTGATAAATGTATTGTGAATATACGAATCGATTATACTGTAATTTATCCATTTGAATTACAGTAGGTGTACACACACACACCAGTATACAGGGGCATCGCGAATACTCCAAACTTTGAAACCTGAAGACCTGGTTTTTCAAGTGCCCTGCCAGGTGCACTGAATACAATCAGGACACATTGTATGACTCCGAACCAATGTTTGATTATTTTAAAGTGACTAAACCTGGCAAAAATAATATGTTTTACGACTTGCAACCAACGGGGTACACGTTTGAGCAGACTGAGTCATTTACAAATCACGAGATATATAGCATACATTACGCATGGCTTTGTCAAAATATATCTTTTTATATAACGCTGCCTTACATAAAAAAACATATAAAAGGCGACGTTTTGGACAATGACCCTTCTTGTGCAGCATTGGCAATGTAGCATCACCAGATAATTTGGTTTATTATTCTTCTAAACAACGTATTTTCTGATTAAATTTAATTCCAAAGGCGAAGTTTGACTTTAATATTATTTGGGGGGGGCAGAGGTTCGCTTTGTCCCACACATTATGAATCGCGGGTGCATGTATTTAAATAATAGTTTTATCTTAATTGTAACCTACTGAAGTAAATTAATGAAGGTGTCCATTTTGGGGGGGGGCAATGCCCCCCCCCCCCAGCGCAAACTCTACCCATGTCTGATACAGCCTAGACCAGGTATCGGTAACCTTTTACCACGTAGGTTTTCACGACAGATATTATTCATAATAAAGGGTTGTTTTGGGGGTTAGATCACGTAAGTATAAATGTGTCCGTTAACCCTCCACCACCCGACACAGCCATTTTGTAAGGTTTGTCACGTAAACAAAACCTGACAATTAGTTACTACTTCAGCCCACCGGTTTGTTGGAGGATAAATCCTCAAACATTTACAATTTGAGTACGACGTTTCGTGCGTAATTACATCCAGCATCATCAGGCAATTGTGCCAGCTGTATTACTTATGCGATCTAACCCAAAACACCTTTATGATGGATGGGTTTTCTTTTCAATTAAAATATTTGATCAGGAGTGCCGAGGCCACTCTTGTGAACGCGCTGTTCGGTGTCGTTGTCCTGCAGCTGCCTCATCGCGATGGCTCTGAAGAACAGCAAAAATGGAAGCTTGCCAGTCAGCGATATCTACCATTTCATGACCGAGAACTTCCCCTACTTCAAGGTAAACATATATGCAGCAATTATTCTTTGGTTCTTTCGGTAAAGTGACTTTACCGAAAGAACCAAAGAATAATTCCTGCAGTCACGAAAGCTCCAAATTATATATGCAGCAGACTGCCCATGATGCAACGTACATAAACAGACCTTGAAACTACGTATTTATTTGAATGTAAATTAATTGATGTAATGTTGACAGAGACAATGACACACGAAAACTGCGTAACTATAAACCAGTCCCTCCAGTATACTGAGATACATTTTTCAGTTTCATATCTGGAAGTGTTATGGCACGTGAATTCTTTAAGGTAATTATCATTATATGTATACATAGTACTGCAGTAGGAGCGGGAGGAATTCATGTGAATTTGATTAATATATTTGTGAAGTGTGAAGGCAATTACGTGGGGTGTTTATCAAGAGTTTTTAGATTCAAATATCTATGGTTATTGAAATCTTTTTGACTTATGTAATTATTTTAAGTAGAGGTTAATATTTGGAACACTTTTTTTAGGTTAATTTCACAATAGGCTCGTGGTAAAAACAATATTTGAAAGCATGCAACAATACCAGATTAATATTTTCCCCTGTCTATGGTAAAATCCAGGATGTTTTAGCTTCATCTTAACTCAAAACCTATCCTCGGGCAACGTATTCTGGCATTGAACGTCGTTCATAGCAGACAGCTGTACAAAGAAGAAGCATTGCTCAAAACGCCACCGATAAAACGCGTGCCTCTCTAGGACAGCATTATTAACACGCGCTTTGAGTTATCGTTATCTGTACTCATCATTATCTTCACCGCTGCCAATGCAGTGTCAGGCGCTCTCTGTTCGAACGTTGCCTCTCTAGGACAGCATTATTAACACGCGCTTTGAGTTATCGTTATCTGTACTCATCATTATTTTCACCGCTGCCAATGCAGTGTCAGACGCTCTCCGTTCGAACGTTGCCACATTTTGCGTTTGTGTTTCGCCGCAGACGGCGCCGGACGGCTGGAAGAATTCGGTGCGGCACAACCTGTCGCTCAACAAGTGCTTCGAGAAGATCGAGAACAAGGCGAGCGGAGGCTCCTCCAGGAAGGGCTGCCTCTGGACCCTGAACCCCGCCAAGGTGGACAAGATGGACGAGGAGATGCAGAAGTGGAAGCGCAAAGACCCCGCCGCCATCCGCAGGAGCATGGCCAACCCCGGTAAAAGTCGGGAGACAGTCGAAGCTAGACTCGCGGGGGGGTATGGGAGAGTGGGGTAAGGGCGGGGGGGGGAGGCTATCTCCCTGAATGCTCAGCACCCCCCTTTATAAATTTGTATCGTCAATTAAGCGACAAGTGTACGCAGCCTTTGCTCGTGGATAGGGAGTGAAAGCTTGAGTCTAATGTACGGCAGACGAAAGCAAACCCTATAGGTCAGGGGTCGGCAAAACCGCGGCTCCGGATCCGCATGCGTCTCTTTATAAGGAACTGCGTGGTGATGTTACCCACGTGCATTGCGGCTCTTGAAATATTGAGGGGGTGCGATTTGTATTCCGAATTCCACAAAAGTGGTTCTTCTTGTTATTTTGGTTGCCGACCCGTGGTATCGGTACTCATTTCTGTTAAGGGCGTAATGTCTCTTTAACATGAACTGTGGAAACCCCGCCCGCCTGCGTTGTTGTATGCCCCCCCCAACCTCCTTGGGAGAAGGGCTGGGATGAAGTAGGTGACATCACCACAGTGCTGCTGTAAATAGCCGAGTTCATGACAGTCATCGTGAGGCAAATGAGAGTCGTGCACAATAAATGTGTTCATTTCTTGTCTTGTCAAACAACCGCCGGTATTTATTGCAGCTGCGATGTCTTTTTTTTTTAGCCAACTGTGCCCTGTAAATGTCACCCCAGTCGTGCGTACGGAGAAACCCAACACGTTCATCCGTAACGTCGCCTTCGGGGCCGTCCATAAATGACTTCAAATATGACGTCACAAAGCTCTGCCCCCCCCCCCCCCCCCCAAAAAAAAGAAAACATGTTTCAAATCGTCTTCTTGGTTCTTTCGGTAAAGTCACATAGAAGGGAAATAATAAAATAATAAAAGTAAAACATAATAAAATAATTCTCACGACGTTTCGGCCACAACGCAAGCAGCCGTCCTCAGGTGAAGAACAGGTCTGTCGGAAAGACAGCGACTGAAGACAGCATCTGCTTGCGTTGTGGCCGAAACGTCGTGAGAATTATTTTATTATGTTTTTTTTATTTTATTATTTCCCTTCTACGTGACTTTACCGAAAGAACCAAGAAGATGAATCCCTGCAGTCACGAAAGCTTTAAATCGAAATATGTTTCAAATCACTTTAAACTATTGTCATTGTAGTGTGTATGTAATGTGCCGCTGCACTCTGATGTTGTAGTAGAAAACATTTATCAAAAAGTATATTTAATTAATTAGAACGTGATGTCTATATTTATTTAAAGTTGCACATTTTTACGTGACGTCACATTTCTCAAACCCCCCCCACCTCGTCAAACATCGTCACAAATGTCTGACCCCCCCCCCCTAGGTGCGTGACGTCATTTATGGACGGCCCCTTATATAGAACTACAGTAGTATGCAAGGGGTGACGTGCTTTGGGACATGGCACTTGTTTACAGCACATAGAGCAGGCGAGAGAGGTGTGCGAGGCCTACCTCTGTGTGCCCTCCACACTGCCGTGTCGTGTTCAGTTTGTCGTCCTTTCCCCCCCCCCCCGCACCTCCGATTAGCACGTTTGGCTACGTACGGTGCGAAAGAAGTTCAGAATGCATACACCCGTCAGACATCTATGTGTAATGCACATATCGTGATTCACAAATACAGCTCGGAGTGTGTTGCGTTGTAAAGTAGTTTGGGAACACTGCTGACGATGACCGCACAGGTCTAACGCATTTACTCTGTGCGAGATGTGAAGTGAAGTGGTCCATTCATAAACAAAATAGTAAAGCAGACAATGTGTCCTTCACATATCCGTCTCTCCACATAAACAAATAAAAATAAAAAAATTTTAGCCAACTCATCGGCCACACGGCCTTCTGGGAGTGCGCGATTTCAGCCGTGTTGATTCCGAGACAAGCAAACTCTGGACTGGTTTCAATGCTTGCGAACTGCTGATCTTACAGGCAAGGGCCTTTCAGGCTTTACTTCTAATTACATAACTCAAATATCGTGTGGCACAAGGATACAATTATAAGCTCAACGTTAACACGCGGTTTCCTTTGTCTAAACACTGCAATTATTTAATGTGACTGTCGTGTTTCACATGTGCATTATGTGAATGGGATAGCGAGGAAACTTCAATTAATGCAATGTTTGTTTTGCTATAGAAATCAGTGCCTAAATACCGTGAGATTTCTGCCACACTATATTTAAACGAAGCGGTGATAGAATTAAATTGAATAGCTCTCTTTTCCAGCAAATTCAGCATTATTAACCACGGTCAATCCACCGCTGGATGTGATTTTCTTCTTATTCGAGCACACGCTCGCATGAAATACATCTATCAACTCTACGACGTAACATCAAATACAGTCAAACAATAATCACAATTCGCAACTCAGCTTGTTCGTTACAAATCGGAAACATTAAAGCAGGACGAACGTTTGTCCGCCAGTGCAGTTGGTTGCATTTGTTCAGTGAACAATACAAAGTTTCAGTTTCATTTATTAGGTATAGCCTTGTGAGCCATGAGGCTCTTGACTCGGGTGCAACCGCAACAAACAAAACATGAACAAAGACCATCTAGAAGTGACGTTTCGCAACAGAAACAACCCAGGAAAAACCAGTAAAAATCTTCCAGAAAAAAAGCACCGTACATCAACGCTGTGCGCAAAAATCCCAATGGGTTGCAAGTCGAACAATAACAACCATAAGACAATTTAGATAAAATTATCAGGCTAACTCCGTACTTCAGCAAACAAACATGGCTTAACCGTACGTTTTCGAATATCACCAAAATAAATCTTTAAAAACAATGTAACAGTGATTATAGGAACTGTGATTCAAATTTAACAACAAACGATATCCATAACATGTTCGACCAAACTTTGCAGCCGTAGCTGGCAGCATGAGTCACTCCATAGTGGTGGTTACACGACATTGAGAAGGTCTCTGGCCATTTCAGAATCCAATAACCGTAGCTCACGCATCGGGTTTCATAATTTCATTTCCCCCCTCCCCCTTTCTTTTGCACTTTGCATGCAACAAACAACAGAGGCACTGGACAGACTGGTTGTGGACAAGGCTGACAAGATGAGCTCGTCCGTCAGCGCCGGGTTTGCACCCAGGTCCAATCCGATGCCTCCGCAGGGAGTTCCGCCGCAGATCATGGCGGCGCGACCCGCTGGCTCCCCACGGCGGTCCAGGCTGCCTTCGGATGGCCCTGACCCGTGTCAGGTGGCAGTGCTCCACAGTCCCCAGCCCGTCGTCTCCGCGTCCTCGCACGGCACGCCGGAACACGGGCAGGTCCAGAGCCAGGAAAACGGCTGCGATGGTTTGGTGTCTGGAGATCACAGTATGGAAGTGGACTCCATCAACCCCAGCATCATCGACTTGGAGATTCAGAGTGAGTTGGTGTTTTGCAGCACTTTTGCCAGGGCGTTGTAGATTCATGGATACGGTCGGACAGCCCTCAGATCTGAGACGCTGGGGGGGGGGGGGGGTCTCAGAAGAAGGGAGCCAAGGCAGCCTCAGATGGAGGCTCATCTGGACATATTGTCCAAAATACTCTTTGTGGCCGTGCCTTTTGCTTTTTGGTGAGGCTCTTTTGGAGGTTAATCAGACGTTCTTGGCTGCATGGTAGAGTTCATTTCAAGAACGTTCATGCTCATTTCTCTCCCAGCCATCGTGATTAACATGTGCACGTGGAAGTCATGCGCACCAACCCTTGAGCAGGTTTGCATTTCAAATACAAAACACGACATGGTTTTCCTTTGCAGTGGATCCATTAGTGGCATGTCTATTATGTACATTCACAGGCCTTTTGGCTATTCAGTGCTAGGCGAAGGCCCTCTCTACATCCTACAGGGTCGTGGGGGTTGTTTTACATTACTTCTAGATTTGAAGCTTTCGTGACTGCAAGGATTCATACTATTACGTTTTGTCGGTAAAGTCACGTAGGTAAAAAATAAAAATTAAAAATAATAATAGAAATAAAATAATAATAAATCAATTCAATCACGACGTTTCGGAGACACTTGATGCAGTAAATTTAGCTGTGACGGTCCCACCTGAAGACGGAGACTTGTGTTACCTCCGAAACGTCGTGATTTAATTGATGTATTATTATTATTTGATTTCTATTATTATTTTTTATTTGTTACATTACTTCACCACACCGATGGTCAGCGCAGGTTGGTGAAAGAAAGGAACATAGAACCACGCTAACATTTATTGTGCTGCACTCTCCTCTGCTGTCCATCACATAGCCTTGCAGCCTATAATATAAAAAAAACTAAAAATTCATAATAACCTGTTGTGCCTGATAGTGGCCTATCGAAGCATCACCGAGGCTTGAACCTGCTTCGGTTCCAAGATCTGACGAGATTGGGCACATTCCATGTTTTTCACGTCATAGGCGTGTCTCTTATAAACACATTAAACTACTGTTACGAGCTCGTAACAATCATTTTACGACTTGGTTTGTTACACAAAAAAGAGCACAACCCCTGTGGCAGCAGCAACTTTGCAACGGCATTGAAGCCACTTTTAAATCTGGATTGAAAACTCATTTCTTAAGAACTGCTTTTTGTGTTTAGTTTTGTTGTCCTTCCCCTGCAATCTCCAATTATCATGGGTACGGTGCAAAAGAAGTTCAACGTACATACATATACATACAAGCTTCTTTCGGGAAATTCTGCCAAAATCGCCCGATGATGCTGGGTGTAATTAGCAGCGAAACGTCGTACTCAAATTTTAAATGTTGTAGATTTAAGCTGTAACTAATTGGCACGTTTTGTTTACGTGACAAACCTTACTAATTCACAATCGGGTGGTAGTTGGTTAAAGACACATTTATACATCCGCGATCTAACCCAAAAAAAACTTTCTCATGAATAATATTGGTCGCGAAAGCCTCTATCTTGCTATGGTATACACTGAGGATCACTCTTGTTCTTGGTTCTTTTGGTAAAGTCACGTAGAAGAGAAATAATAAAATAAAATAAATAAACATAATAATAATTCTCACGAAATTTCGGCCACAACGCAAGCAGCCGTCCTCAGGTGAAGAACAGAGCTGTCGGAAAGACAGCTCTGTGACTTTACCGAAAGGATGCGTCCAGGACGCTGTCTTTCCGACAGACCTGTTCTTCACCTGAGGACGGCTGCTTGCGTTGTGGCCGAAACGTCGTGAGAATTATTTTATTATGTTTTATTTTATTATTTTATTATTTCCCTTCTACGTGACTTTACCGAAAGAACCAAGAAGTTGTATAATTTTATTATTTCTCTTCTACGTGACTTTACCGAAAGAACCAAGAAGTTGTATAATTTTATTATTTCTCTTCTACGTGACTTTACCGAAAGAACCAAGAAGATGAATCCCTGCAGTCACGAAAGCTTTAAATCGAAAGATCACTCTTGCGTTTGCAGGTAGCCTGTGGGACGCCTACCAGCAGGACAACCTCTCCTTGGAAGGCCTGGGCAATGCATCGGACTCCCTGTGCCATTCTCCCTGCCTATCGGAGCACGCTGCATGCAGCGTGACCGACACGGATGCCCCGTCGCCCGCCTACACGTGCGCTGCCAGCACAGCCGATTGCAAAGCGGCGGGCGGCATCAGTGCCATCTTCAGCACGCCGCCGCTGTACAGCAGCCTGGGTGACGAGCTGTCACTCGCCTACCTCTGCAATCCAGCAGCAGGGGCTCAGCTCGTCACGCTCATGTGATAGCAAAGCCTCGTTTGTGCCCGGATAGCAACGAGACTCATTCGCTGGGCGAGTGATTGTTTTTTTGTTGCAGCAAGATTGACTGAAAACTTCCGAGCAGCAAGCTTACATTTTTCTCTTTAAAGCCATGAAATATGTGTATATATTTGCAGTATTATGTCCTAATTTTGCCATGTTTTGAGCAAAAAAATTGCGTATTTTTTTTTGTAGAATGAACGTATCTTAACTGTTGAGAAAGCATTTCTTATTTTGATACAAAAGTGTAATCTGAATGTCCATGTGCGTGGCCATATCAATGTCGTGTTCCTTAAGGAATTACTTTACACGTGAATATGTTGCCTTTGTTAAATGAACTTTTCAGCTACATGGTCCCAAGGAAGAGGATGCCACCACCCACAGTAAAGACTTTAGCTTTGTTTGCGTCCAAGGGGCACTCATTAACTCGTTTCGCAAGGCTGTTGTGCTTGCAGCAATGTACTCCAATAGTTTTTTTTTTTCTAAGTAAACGATAAGGCTTTTCGTTGTCTCACAGCTGTATTGTAAACGTATGAGGTTATATGAACTGGTAATGTAAACTGGCGTTAAGGATCGACCAAAAATACTGCAGTGTGTACCTGTATTCGTTATTATTTATGTTTTTTTTGTCCACAATAACCACTCAATAAATGAACAACCTGTTTGCCAATTCCTGTGCTACAAACGCAGTGCACAACTGTCCTGAACTTTGTAAATCACTCAGAGAGAATACGTACGATAATCACCCAGGAATGTCTGTCCTTAACGCTCGTGACGTCACTCCATCGACCAGCCCCCCTCATTAATATTCATGAGCAGGTGACGTCCTCCAAATGGACACCCCCCCCCCCCCATTATTACCTACTACAATGAGCCAAGAATGTCTGTGTGCAACGCTCGTGACGTCACTCCACGTCAACCAGCCCCCGTCATTAATAATCATGAGCAGGTGACGTCACTCCACATGGACACCCCCCCTCATTAATAATCATGAGCAGGTGACGTCACTCCACATGGAGCACCCTCCCCCCTCATTAATAATCATGGGCAGGTGACGTCACTCCACATGGACACCCCCCCCTCATTAATAATCATGAGCAGGTGACGTCACTCCACATGGAGCACCCTCCCCTCATTAATAATCATGAGCAGGTGACGTCACTCCACATGGAGCACCCTCCCCCCTCATTAATAATCATGAGCAGGTGACGTCACTCCACATGTAGCACCCTCCCCCCTCATTAATAATCATGAGCAGGTGACGTCACTCCACATGGACACCCCCCCCTCATTAATAATCATGAGCAGGTGACGTCACTCCACATGGAGCACCCCCCCCGTCATTAATAACCATGAGCAGGTGACGTCACTCCACATTGAGCACCCTCCCCCCTCATTAATAATCATGAGCAGGTGACGTCACTCCACATGGACAACCCCCCCTCATTAATAATCATGAGCAGGTGACGTCACTCCACATGGACACCTCCCCCCTCATTAATAATCATGAGCAGGTGACGTCACTCCACATTGAGCACCCTCCCCCCTCATTAATAATCATGAGCAGGTGACGTCACTCCACATGGACAGCTCCCCTTCATTAATAATCATGAGCAGGTGACGTCACTCCACATGGACACCTCCCCCCTCATTAATAATCATGAACAGGTGACGTCACTCCACATGGACACCCCCCCTCATTAATAATCATGAGCAGGTGACGTCACTCCACATGGACACCTCCCCCCTCATTAATAATCATGAGCAGGTGACGTCACTCCACATGGACACCCCCCTCATTAATAATCATGAGCAGGTGACGTCACTCCACATGGACACCCCCCCCCCCTCATTAATAATCATGAGCAGGTGACGTCACTCCACATGGACACCCCCCCTCATTAATAATCATGAGCAGGTGACGTCACTCCACATGGACACCCCCCCCCTCATTAATAATCATGAGCAGGTGACGTCACTCCACATGGACACCCCCCCTCATTAATAATCATGAGCAGGTGACGTCACTCCACATGGACACCCCCCCTCATTAATAATCATTATAAGGTGACGTCCTCAAAACGGACCCCTCCCCCCCCCATTCATAATAATTAGCGGGTGACGTCACTCCACACGTGGTGGGGGGGGGCGAGGCGCCTCCTCCCCCCTCCTCGGCGTCAACTCACAACCCTCACTACAAAGGCAGAACCCTCACGTCACGTGATCTCTGCAACGCTGTTGAGACATCAAAGTAAAAAGGACGTCATGATGAACAAGGGATTATAACCTTACAATGAAATAGGTCTGTGTCACCGCGCCCTTACAAACTGCACGCGAATTGATGCAATAAATATATCACGTCTCGGTCTGATTTTCGCTTGCAAGTTTCAGATTTACTGCAATACACCCGTCCTTGGACGGGCAAAAGGCGAGTTTAAATATCATTCACAAGTTACCTGCGTGACTGTAAACCATTTGAAAAGTTACGGGAAAATAACCATCTCCCCACCTGATTTTTTTATCACTTGTACAGGCAAAATGTCCGTCTAAAAGATGTACGCTTAGTTTAATTGCGAAGACAAGCCATCACTTGTAATCGATGTTTGTATAAAAAAACATATTCATCTATTTAAACTCATGTTTTGTCGATGCCTTTTAAACACATAATGCAAGAGCCTTTGCGACCATGAGGATTAATTTACCCATTCACATACAGCTTATTAAACCGAAACATATTTCTCATTGATCAGGCTTGACCACGCTTAATATCAAACGTGTTTATCTCCAGAATCAAATTGAAATTATGCTGGAGATTTGGCGTAGTTTCAAAGACGACCAACAGCTTCGGGATGCTTCCATGCGGTGTGACGGTTTGCACACTGGACTTGCATCAATATCTTGAGGTTTCTTAAACCCCCCTCCCCACCCATCAGTACAAATGCGTTCACCAGTCGATCGGCAGGTTACTGTGGTGCAGTGTAGCAAGCGTGGAAAAGTTGGACAAAAAAGACCTTTCAGAGCCGTCCCAACTACTCCCTCTAGTGGATGCCTTTCTGCAAGCAAGGGCCATCTGGCCAAGACTTGCCCATACTGCACATTCGTTTTCAGCTACCGTTTAAATGTCTCCCTTTACAAATCATTGACTTCCTTGCAAATCAATCTTGATTTAAAGCTTTAGTGACTGCAGGAATACATACTGTTTGGTTCTTTCAGTAACGTCACGTAGGTAGAAAATAAAATAAATCACGACGTTTCGGGCACAACACAGGCTTTCCCACCCGATGACGGACGCTTGTGTTGCGCCCGAAACGTCGTGATTTAGTCCTTACAAATCATTGTTTAATGCCACTTGCTTTTCAACATTTTGGTGGTAATTTCTACATCGTGACTGCTGATGAATGTAATAATTCTCTGCCAAGTCTGTTGTGCCGGGACGTATACAATTGAATATACATTTGTACACTGTTGCCAAAGTGCAATATTCAATATACACATCAAAGATTGAATTGCAATTTCAAGGTACCATTTTGACAAATTGTTGAAAGGAGATGGCAGAACTCTTAGAAATATTAAAACCGATGCAAAATAAGATGTGCTTATTCGCACTGACTGGATTCACAAATAACACTGCATTGCTATTGGGAAACAAGCCAATGTTATGCGAGTTGTATTCCAATTAACAAAAGAAAGAAACGAGGTGAAAATTTCTGTACACTTTATCAAAATTTATTTCTTCAAACAAGACACAAACATAAAAAAATGCTCAAATAAAAAATACAAATTGTCTTTTTTTGTCTAGTTTACCATACACATTTTCACAGCCACATAATAAGAGTAAAATAATGTTGCCACCTCCAGCAAACATCACAGGGGGTGTGTGTGGGGGGGGAACACCGATGTTTCCAAAATCCCCCTGTGCAAGTATTTTTGCATCGAGAAAAAAATAACTTCTGAAATACAGGGATCATTTACACCTCTTGAACTAAGCACACACCAACAAAAATCAACAACGGAGGCTCATGTTGCAGTGTGCAGCAAGCAGTCTTTTGCGCTTAATCACCTGTACAGCTGGATACAACTAAAACACACGCGAACTGGGAGCTAAATAAAATACACATGTACAGTCTGCATAAAAGATAAAACAATGTAAACAATTGACCAGAAAAACACGTGAAGTAGAATGATTGTGTCCACCCATCTCACTGTGTGGAGTTTACCTTCATAATTGTGGGGGTTTTTTTCTGGTACGGGGGGCAAACAACAACAACAACAACCACTGGGTTCATCATGGTAAAAAAACATAATTGACGCTCAAGATCGCGTCCGCGCTTCAGTGACAACCTATCACAGTAAGCCACAAAACCTTCAGAAATATTCCAACTTGGGGGGGGGCGGTGGGCATCCTTGTTAGAAACTTGGAGTGATTATAATTATACAACAAAAACCTTTACAAGAGACTACATTTTTGGTAGCAATCGCTGAATGGTGTGTGTATATATAAAAAAATAACTGCTACAATAGTAAATTACAATTTGCGTGCAAGTACTTTTGGGACTTACGCACCGAATGGCAATTTTTAAGGTGATAGGTGCTCATGTGTGGGTTAAATGACAACAAGAAAAGCACCTCCACATGGCCTTCCTCACTCCTCTGGTCACCGAGTATACCGATAAGAATAATTATGCATAATTATCAATAATTATAGCAATGAGAATAATTATCATATAAACTAGAAATGGTATAGCACCCCAACAGCGACATCACCTTCATTGTTTTAGGCTGGGTTCAAACTGACTGTGCAAAACAAAACAAAAAACAAATCAACAAATGATCCACTGAGATTTTTATATCACATCCACACTAATGGCCAGGAGAACTCACCCAATGTGTGCAAAAGGCAAACGTTCCCTTGACATATATACACACACGTACACCCATATACACAGAATTTTATATAAAATGCACATTTACTTATAAATGTTTCAGCAGATAAATCAGCCAGTGCCACAACGCAAAAATACGTTGCAAGTCCACAGGAAAATTTCCACAGGATTTCACCAAATCACCATTAAAATTCACACCGCCAATAAGCTCTCAATAAATTACAAAGTAACACACTCCCTGAATCAGAATTATATATTTAAAACAGTTTGTTTCCCTCTTCAAACTGAACTCTTGTGGTACACACACTAGGGAATGAGCAACAGTACCACACATATCCCAATAATGTTGCAAGTGCAGCTTTTCAAGGTTAGGTCTTCCAGTCTTGGCTCACATATGCAAGCTGGTTGCATACAGACACTAAGCTGATACTGATATGAAGCCAAAATCTCTTGTTTATCACCAAGCATGTGTGTACACATAAATTAGCTCTAGATTCATATTCAAGCATCAGGGCAGCCTTGCCAACATGGAAGATGGCTTCGTGAGTATTTGATCGAGTGGACTTAATATCTTCAAGTTCCCTGGATGCTGTCCGCGGTTGGCATCATACAGTGTTGTAGAGAGGGTTAGTGGTGCGCTTCTTTTCACTTGTCTTTTTCAAGCGTCGCAACGGATGGGTCCTGCCATGCTGCTGTCTTTGCACGGAGGACCCCGCGTCTTGGGTTTCCGCAGTCACAATGCTCTGTGAACCATGTGCATCAACTCCCGCCGAAGATTCAACCCTTTGAGTTTGCAACACAGGCAACTGTGACCGATTATCGTCATCGTGCGCCAGAATGTCAATTGGTTTGGTTGAGCAAATAATCACACTCGAACGTTCTCCCTGCGATGGTTCTCTTTGCCCAGACCTCTCTGTTGAAAGGACACGCTTCAGTTCCATTGGCTCCACGGGATCCAAGCTGGCCTCGTCATTCATGTCTTCCTGGCAGAGTCCGAAAGAACCCAGCTTTGCCAGAGAGTGTGAACGTTTCATCCGAGAAGGGGTGGTCAAGCCAGCTTGACGGTTTTTCGACTCAATCTCTTTGGCTTGCTGCCGGACACGGCCACTGGACAGTGCATCATTAACACCAATCTGCAGGCTATCTATGCTGCTGCCAACGTACGGAGTGGGAGAGAAGAGCTGGAGATTTGGCCGAGGTGCGCTACTGGATTTCTTATCGTGCACTAAAGTTTCGCTGGTGCCAAGTGGCTTCACGGAAATTCCGTGTTTATTTTCAACGTCCGTTTCGGTTACATTCCTGCACTCCACCGCTTTTTCCGATTCAATTTTGCTGTCAATTTCAGTGTCCGTGTCCGTGCTGGTGTTTGTGACGCCGTGGACTATAAAAGCCGTTGGATGCTCACACGTCGGTGCATCCCTGACCGCGACGGACAAGGAGAGTAAGCAAAATGGGGTCGATCTGGGTGGAATTTCGATGTCTCTCCCTGTTCTCATGTCGGCATTATGCTCGGCGAGATCTTCATCCGAGTTAGTGACGTGCTCCTCACCCTGCCTCGCAAAGCCCGTGGAAGCTGCCTCATCACCAACCAGTGCCACTTTGACGGAACTCAACGGCGATGACAGCTTTTCATTGAGCTCTTTCGTGTGCTTTTTCACTAGGCCCTTTTCTTCAAGAAACACCAGTGACTCTTGATGGTAAAGCTTGGATGGCCTCCGTGATGGAAGTAATAAACTGGTACTCCCATCTGGGTTCTCTTCAAACACAACTTCCATACTGGCCCTATTGTCTGACTCACTGTCAACAGTGCCTGGCTCACTGGAGCCTTTGCCATGTTTCATGGCAGGGTTGAAGACTGCAGGAGTATACTCAATGATTTCTATTGTCCTCTGAGGGGGTTGTGCGTCTGCCCTCTCCGCAGCAGGTGGCGCCACATCACTCGCATCATCGCAGTGCGAGTCGACCACAATGTCTTCTGGAATGATTACCTCGCAATGTTCCACATTGGACACAAGAGGGCTCACTTCGCTCAGCTTGGCATAAACAGGCTCGTGACTTTTGAAGGGCTCCGCTTCTTTAAGTTTAGATGGGCAAACCTCTTGTGCTCTTTGTAGCATTACCACAGCAACATCTTCAGTCTTAGTGGCATCCGGCTCCTGATCGGGGCTTTGTATATCATCTTTATGTTGCTCATCTTCTCTCCAATCTTGCTTTCTTTGCACACTCCTCTGAGTCGCTGCGGCTTTAACCTCCACCTCACCACTTTGCTCTTCCCCCTTTCTGCTTTTCCACACCAAGTCGCGGCCAATCTTTCCGTCGTTTTGGGAATTCTTGCGACTGAGCGATGTTCCCACAATCGGGCTGCTGGCCATGGGCTCGTGCTCCTTAAACCGCTCCTCCAGCTCCTTGGTGGCACGGCGCACAGTCCCGTGCATCATGGTGCGGTCGGTGTGCAGGCTCGACGACCTTCTCAGGTTCACCAAGGCGTTGGAGGATTTGTCTCGGTCCCGTTCAGTGTGAGGCGCGTCCGACCTGGACTGAGTCGACCTCCCTTCGGTGATTTGAGAAATGTCACTCGCTCCTGTCGAGCATTGAGCAAATTCGAAGGACGTCGTGGAATCGTGACCTAATGACCCTTTACGACAATGACCTGGAGATGGCACGGTGATGGGTCGCACCATTTCAGTAAGATTGGGAACTGCACCTTTGGATACAGCGCTGTCCTCCCTAGTGCAACTGGCTACCAGCATCGGGGAAGAGACTGCTACTTCAGCAGAACTGCCTTGACTCCATCCTGCTGATGAGGACTCCATTCCAGTCACAATTTCTTTTACGGAAACTGGAGGAACTTCAGTCTGATTCAGTATCTTCACGAGTTCCTGAGCAACAATAAGCAAAGCAAAATATCGGTTATTCTTTTGAAACATTATTCAAAGAACACAAACCTATGAGAACCGAAAGCAAATAAATAACATAAAATAAATGGACATTTTTTTTTAATAGTTTCTAACATATAAATAACACTCAAGCATCAATTGTGATTCAAAGCTATGAGCAAGTACATTTAATCAATGCCTAAACATGTATCTAGTAGCTAAATTACCATTAACAAAACCAAAGCCAAACAATGTTACGGTATTGTCTCACCTTGAGGTCACTGTTGTTGTTATTATTGTTGTTGTTATTGTTGTTGTTGCTGTTACTGCTGCTGGTATTGGGAGTGGCATCATCCTGGGTGTTGTTCACGTCCACCTCTTGACTATTGCGCTTGTCGGTGGACGCGCTCGTTGATTCCGAGACGCTAAGCCGAGTTCCGGTGGAACGTATGGCAGGGCCCGGCTCCTCGCTTCGGGACATCAGTCTCTCCCGGCCTTTATTCTCCTGGGAGAGCTCTACATTCATGACAAGCAAAAAAAAAAGACCAGAGCAGCACAGTTTTCAACTTCAGCCTTACACCATAGTGGCCAATGTGTGTATTATAGCAGTATCCAATATCCAGGCTGGTGAAGTATAGAGCAAGTAACACCTAAACTTAAACTATTTTTTTAATTCCACCAGCTAAGGCCCACTGAGCGATATAGCTGTGTATTAGAAGCAGCATGGCCACAAATGATAGCTCAAAAAAAGCGGCTTATCATGTGGAAATGTATAGCAGTCTACTATGCTAAACACTTGTTTCTAAATGTGGAGGGAAAAACCGGAGGACCTGGAGAAAAATCCACACGACCACGGGCAGCACATGCAAACTCCAAATATACAGGCGTGAGGGTCGGGTTCAAAACCACGATCTCTTGCATACCAGGCAAGGTAGTTAACATCTCGCCACCGCGGCGCCCCTGCATTGTGGGTATAAAGCAAGGGGCATGGCCATATAAATATAGTTCTATCATGATATGTTGGTAGAAGCAATTGTCAATCCATTGCTGGATAAGGGCCTCCCAACTCCTTGCGGGTCAAATGGGATTTTAGGCCATATTTGACGATGCTGGTCATCGCAGGTGAGGAGTGAAGAACTATAATATGGATTGTTTGCACTGCTCTCTACTGCCCACAATGCCATACATTTTGCACATGGTGGTCACCCATCAAAGCAATATCCACCAGGCTGCATTCCGCTTAGCTTCTGAGATGATAAGGCCTTTCGTATTTCTGTCGATTTTGTGATCGCCTCTATTACAATAACGGCCACTATAAGGTCTGTTGTATTAATTAAAATTGCACGCTGTGAACAATTGTCAAGTATTCAATGTAATGACATAAATGTGGCATATTACTGCTTAAACTTCATGTATCGTTAACGCTCACAATTTAAAAATGATCATAAATGAACGCAGTTAAAAAAAAAGTTACCTTTGAATTTCTCCATGGCGCTGAAGAAGTCGATCTTGTCCTCGGTGCTCGTCGTTAAGCACGTCTGCGGAGGCGACTCTGACAAGGGGGCCGCCGCATGTCCAGCGGCGGACGTTGACGCCGCGGGGGGGCCAGGCTGCTTCTGCGCGGCGGAGGACACCACCTCCTCGGCGCCTCTCACACTGCCTCTCTGAGGCACCGCCGCCGCCGCCGCCACCACCACCAAGCCTTCTTGATGGCTGGTCGATGTCACCTCTGCGTTCACAGTCGTGGCGTGATCCCCCGTTTCATTTGTGAACTCTGTTGGGCCGCCACCAATGGGCGGGGGCGACGGTTCGGGCTGGGGATGCTGGTGGCCGGCGACGGCATCCTCTTGCTCCTCGTCGGGGCTCTTAGGCCACACTGCAAGGCCGCTCCCCGTGGGCCACGCCATGGCGGTGGCTGCTGCACAGCTGGAGGTGCTCGACAGGCAGAACAATTGGGGATCGTCCAGGCACGTGCGGTTGTTGCCTGGACACGCAAAAAACCAAACGTGACAACCAAATTGTAATACACATGTTCAGTTCTCGATTTGAAGCTTTCGTGACTGCAAGGATTCATATTCTTAGGTTTTTTCGGTAAAGTCACGTAGGTAAAAAGTAAAATTAATAAAAGTAAAATAAAATAAAAATCACGACGTTTCGGAGGCAACACAAGCTTCCGTCTTCAGGTGGAACCGTCACAGCACGATAGCTGTACCGAAAAAAATCTAAGAATACACATGTTCAGTGTATGTCAGCATTTGACAATGTGTGTTTGTAGGCATGTATGTGTGTGTTGTTCTACAGCGCAAAAACGCAATTCAATGTGTTGCTATATATGCAAAGTAAGAAAGTGGACACTGATACGCGACATTATATTAATTTTCACAATCCCTTTGCGATTTCACAATTAGTATCAAAAATAGGCCAGCATTAGTTGAGTTGTACTACTTTTTAAATGAGGCACCTTAAATCTTGTTTAATAGCCACACATTGAGCCTGCTTTGTGTTTAGTTTGTTGTCCGTTCCCCCCCCCCCCCGCACCTCCGATTAGCACGGTTGGCTACGTACGGTGCGAAAGAAGTTCAAAGCACATACAAACATTGCACATCTCCTTATGCCAACACTATAAAACGATGGGGGGGGGGGAAAAATCCCCTACGTAAAAGCCGAGTTGCTGACAATGCAACGGTAAAAACCCTCACCATCTCCTCCTCGGGTGATGCCAGTCATTCCCGTGTCCCCCAGCTCGAACGGGTAGAACGTGCTCTCCTTTGTGAACGAGCGCGAGCGTGTGGTTTGAACCTCGTGCGATGGGGACAGCTCCTCTGGGCCACGGTGTCCGAGAGCGCCCGTTCCCCCAGCCTGCAAAGCGATGGCGATGTTCGATCGCATTAACAAATTGGTTGTGACAAGTACGCAAGTAATAACGCACACAAACGCAGCATTGCAATAAAACTTTTTCAAGCGAAGCCGCGTAAAAAAGTAATTTGCTGCCACTGTAAATTTAAGGGTAATTCGCTATAATTTATTCCCCCAAAAAGTGATAAATGCTAGGGCATATAAATAAACTTCCATTCTTATGTTCATGATACTCGCATTGAATTGTGCGTGAGAATCGATCGCTTTCGATCCGTGTACATTGCATTAAAAAAACTGTGCATAAAACTTATCGCGTGTACAGAAAATAACATGGATTCATTTGAAATGAGACAATCAACAATATAAACTACCTTGAAATGCAGAATGAGTAATTTAACGTGTTATAAAATTGAAATGAGTTAATATTAAAAGCTAATAAAATATTAACAGAAAAATATATTGTTAAAAACCCACACAGTAAAAAAAACAGCACTTGCTTGGTGATACTAAAGCAAAATGACACGGGTTGTAATCGGACAAATTGCCCCTCGTAAAACGTGTCTGTGTAGGTGAGGTCTGCGGACCATGGGAGGAGAGCCGTGGTCTGCGTACCATGTGGTGCTTGGATCCTTGCAAGCCGCCAGCAGGCTTGATGAGACGCTCGCTCAAGTTGCTATCAGAGTGCGAGCGCCATAGCTTATTGTGTCTTTGTTTACTGCAAAGTAAAAACAACATAAAAACAACTCAACATCCCATCCGCACATCATCTCTTCGGAGCTTATAATCGCACGCTCAATTAATGTATGTATGATGAACTTCTTTCGCACTGTACATAGTCAACTGTGATCATTGGAGGTGCGGGGGAAGGACAACAAACTGAACACAAAAAGCAGTTCTAAAGAAATTAGTTTTAAATTTTGATTTAAAAGTGCATAGCTCCAGTGGATTCCTAATATCAGAAGAGCATTGTTAAATGGTTAGCCAAAAGCTGCTGCGATGATGACCAGAGTTTGCAGGATGGTTACCGAATGCGTATAAATGCAGCCTTTAGATTTTTTACAAGACATTTTTCCTTTAAATGTACCTAGTTTGTTTTATGGCATTGTAAAAATGTTTTTCTAGATTCTGACTGTTTAATGAGAATGTATTTCCCTGAAAACATGGCTGTCCCCAGATTTTGCTGAACACGTACAAATGTCACTCAACAACCGCGTGACTGCATTTCATATGAAAGCACAAAGCTCATATGACCGCGAATATAGTAAAGAATCCTAATGCTCTAACAAAGCAATAAAAAAGACGATGGCAACTCAGTCCACTGAGACATCATTAATTGTTTTAAAGGCTTTCCCACCCTATCAGACAAGCGTATGCGCACAAACGCACGCACAGACGCCTACGCATGGCGCAAGAACTCGCACCCAGACGCTCGTGTTCTAACACACAAGTGCTAATCTTGCTGGTATGCAGCATGACTTCTCCTTTCTAAACACGAAGGTACCCCCCCCCCCCCCACCACCACCATTGGCAGTCTTTCCCAAAAGATACACAGATCTCGGTAATGGTATTGCTTCGCTGTCTGAAATAATCCATCAACATCGCTGGAGAAGTTACGTAATGTGGAGTGTACGTGGATAGACAGGCCGATTGGCACATTTCCTAAGTGTAGCTATAAGTAGTCTCACGGTTGCCTTAAAATTTGTATTTAATCAAGTGTTGGACGGGTAAAATAAATCGCAGGCGCAACAACAAATTATTGCTCGTGGCGTTTCGAGGAACGTGTTCCAATTAAAACAGCATTTTAACGACAATAATAAACAAGCCAGCAGGCCACACGCAGATTCTCAGCTGTCAGCGTGTTACTTAATACCAACGGAACAAAAACACTAACCTAAACACACTCAGTTGAACAAAGATGAAACCAGAGTTACATCTCTTTATCTGGTCTGTTCGAACTTGTTGCTTCATTAATTCACAGCTTTTTGTCAAGCCCACTGCTCGCTGAAGGCCTCCCCATTTGCACGGGGGTTGTTTTGACCATACTTCACCGCATTGATGAAGAGGTGTGGGGGTGGCCAGCACCAGTTCTGATGTCACTCACCGCTGAACGTTAGCCGTGGCCAGAAATCAGTTAAGGTTACCAGGTTCAGTGCAGTGCGTTAACCACTGCACAAACACTCCCCCGCGCTATTCTAAGGGATTAAATGTATTTTAATTATCTAACCACAGAAATGTAAGTTAATTCATTATTTAAGAAGGAATTTAAAAATGTATAATTAAGTCCTGTCAAACACTATATCTCTGAGAAAATCGAGGAGGTAATGTTATACCCAGTATGGCAAGTGTAAACATCATCATATGACACCAATGTAAAAAGAGAATATGTCCCCAAGACTAATGTGCAAGACAACCGTTCTGGAATAAAAAGTTCAAATTAAGACTGCACAACAGTCTAGTAATATTATTTGTACTTAAAATATATAAAAACAAAACAAGGAAAAGCTGTATACCAGAATCCATTTACAGTATACATGTTTAGATCATAATGGGCAACGATCCATTACGATCGCAAATCATGTCCACAGTATAATGACATGGCAATGGGCAAGAGATGCTTTTAGCACGAATGTGTATTTTAAATGACTGTTTACATAACTGCCATTTCGATTTAAAGCTATCGTGACTGCAGGGATTCATATTCTTGGTTCTTTCGGTAAAGTCACGTGGAAGGGAATAAAAAAAACTTATTTTTTATTTCGATTTAAAGCTTTCGTGACTGCAGGGATTCATCTTCTTGGTTCTTTCGGTAAAGTCACGTAGAAGGAAAATAATAAAATAATAAAAAATAATACAAATAAACATAATAAAATACAATTATCAGAGAATTCTCAGAGAATTGTATTTTATTATGTTTTCTTTTTATTATTTTATTATTTCCCTTCTACGTGACTTTACCGAAAGAACCAAGAATATATCTGCCATTCATTATCCACTGCTGGATGAAGACCTCCCTACATCGTACGTGAGATAATCCTCAATGCTCCATCTCCTCGACAGTTGTCCTCTCGGGCAGTTCCCTCCACTGGCTGCCGTTCTCCGTCACCATTCCTGCCCATTGGCCATGAAAGCCTTTGAGGTGTGCGCTCCTTCCAACACCCAATTACTTTTCTCAACAGTCATTATGACGTTTCTGATTTGCGTTTGTTCTTTGATCCACATTATTGCCCCGTCTCTCACGCAATTCCCAGCATCCTTCTCTCCGTGCTCCTTTGTGTAACTTTTCAGATTTTTGTTCCATTTCGTTTATGATACGTGTCATAGCTAGTAGTATTCAATACTGACAAATTGTTCTTCCTAAAAAAGTCCAGTATGCTCCCTTTTCATGACCATATAAAATCCTTCAAAAGTACTTCAACCTGCCCTCATTCGACTCTTTCGTTCATCACTATTATCCCGGTTCACCTTCACACATTAATGCAGATAAACGCACTCCGTTGGAGCTTCAAGTTGCGTGCACCCTTCTGTTACGAAAATGTATTTTGCTTGTATTTATCTTGACTGCCACTTTGCATACTTATTTGTTAAGTTATTAAAAAATGCCTGTAATTTTGTACTATTTGGTTGTTATAATGACTATGTCAGAGAATCCGAAATGATAAAACACTTTCACCATTTGATTCAAAGTTGGTAGCCTCATTTGTATGCTTTCAATTCTCCAATAGAGTTTTTGGAAAAAAGCTTCGAGACTCTCTTAGAATAGCCTTGGCGAGAGAGTATATCCCTGCCTGACCCCCTTCTTCTGATTATTAGTTTGTTGTTTTATATAGTACCGTCGTGGATTTATAGTTTGATAATCTATATAAATTGTTTTTAACCTTCATTTGCGAGAGCTTTGATTAATAAAAATTTTAACTTTTTGTGCGATGTTATGATTCATTAAAACATCATTTTGACAAGTCAACATCGTTGGTGTCGATGTTAATTTTTGAAACACAATGGACAAATACTAATATTTACTAAATATTTGTCCAAGTTTGAACATCACATTAAGGTCACATATGCACTGGAAAGTTCATTATTTCATAACCAATGTTCAGCCATAAGAGTAAACACTAAACCAAAATATAGACTGGCCATGCCTGACTAAAAATACACACTCACATGACTGTTTCCATGGCGTACTCTTTTTTTTGAAGCAGATAAAATGTGGGCACATGACAAGCCTTGAATACTTAACACTGAATATCATATTGTGGTTGCTGAAAACACTTGCGTGCTAATACGATCTTGGCAGGTGGAACAATCAGCAATTAACTTAATGGTTGTATCCTTTTGGTACACACCAACATCTACCTTTCAAATCTCGTGTCACAACTTGAGATACATCACAGCCACTCACGTACCATTTCTAATTCAACAACTTGGTAGCGAGTTGCTAGTAAAATGCAATATATATACTTTGATATTCTGAAATACCTATGGTCCTTTCACATTATCACACTTGAACAAAACGGGGTCTGTACTCGTAAATGCCAATTCACTTTGCATAGATCTGAATCTTAACCGCATCTTTATTACGGGATGTATGTTTAGACCGCTATGATTCGCGGCAATGGTTCTTTTCAGCACGTGAGTTTTTGCAGCCCCTGACAATCCAATCGTGGTCTTCATGGTGAGGCCACATGGAGAGGGAACATTCTATTGTTTGACTTGCATCCCACTGGGATTTTTGCACACAGTGTTGGTGTACGGTGCTTTTTTTGCAATATTTTGCTGTCTTTTCTTGGATTTTCTGTTTGCACATAGTCACTTTAAGATGTTTTCATGTTCATGTATTTGTTTTTTTGTTTGTTGCGGTTGCACCCGATTGAAGAGCCGAATGGCTCACAGGGCTACACCAAATAAATTAAACTTGAAACTTGAAACAGTGTGGGGCCCCCCCACCTGGAGGATCACACTCGCGCAGCAATGGTTTCTGCTACCCACCTGGCATCGAGGATGCCCTGGTACTCCTCCAGTTGTCGCATGAAGCTCGCGTTGGGCTTTGCAACGTTGCGCTTCTCTTTGACAAAGTTGAACGCCTTGTCCAGACTCCAGCCGTACTCCTTCATGGCATAGGCGATGACGGTGGAAGCGGAGCGGCTCACTCCCATCTTGCAGTGCACAAGGCACTTGGAGCCGCTCTTTCTGTTTGTGCGGAAAAATGTAGACACGCGCACACACACATACAGATATATATATATGACCTGACACAGCAGGAATCATGGTCATGATCGTACTAAAAGTGAGTAAAAGCAAGAGATTTCTCCCCACACACACAACATTTATGGTGTGAGCAAAGACACAGGCCAGTGCAAATGGATTATAAAAAGGATTTGATCATTTAACTGCTATCCCCCCTTGTTAAAGATCTTTTTTTTAGGGTTAATGATTACAACCCATGTAATGTGTTAAATATCTGTCCAAATAGTGTTTGTATACCAATTTATAGCAGTGAACATTTGCCAACTACATTGACATATAAACAGCAGACTAGATTTACACATACAAGATTTTTCCCTATTTGTGATGTGTACAAAGTTGGCAAAAAACAGAATCGTTCTTCACAACAACATGCATGCCAGACAACTCACTTGGCCTTTGAAATGAACTTGTATGTGTCGTTCCAGTAAGCCAAAAGGTCGGTAGCCTCTTCATCGTACACTCGGATATTGTGATACACGAAGAGACCAGGGAAGAAATTATCAATCTCCCGAGTAACATTCAGGATGTATCCCACCCTGTAACAACAAGAATGCACTCATTTTGGATTGCAATCAAGAAACCATTAAACAAACAATTTGACTACGTCAACAAACACACCAAAAATGGGCCACACACAACATTACACAACATGTAATATGTCTCATTCAATTTAGAACACAATGGAAGCATTAACATTTAGCGCTGCTAGACAATGGACAACTTAAAAAAAAAACTGAGCAGAGCTTACCCTCGACTTTGCAGCTCTTCCAAATTGGATGCATTCCACTCTGAGCCCTGCAAGAAACAGCACAAAACCAATCAATGTCTTTATGTTTCGATTTAAAGCTTTCGTGACTGCAGGGATTCATCTTCTTGGTTCTTTCGGTAAAGTCACGTAGAAGTGAAGTAATAAAATAATAAAAATAAAACATAATAAAATACAATTCTCACGACGTTTCGGCCACAACGCAATCAGCCGTCCTCAGGTGAAGACCAGGTCTGTCGGGGAGACAGCGTCTGAATGAATTCCCCTGACAGACCTGGTCTTCACCTGAGGACGGCTGCTTGCGTTGTGGCCGAAACGTCGTGAAAATTATTTTATTATGTTTTATTTTAATTATTTTATTACTTCCCTTCTACGTGACTTTACCGAAAAAACCAAGAAAATGTCTTTATGCTTCAGTGCACAAGATTCCTGGCTTCCAAATGCTACATGTGGCAACTGTTGCTTTGCCATGCAAGAACCAACACTTCTCTTTGTTTCGCGTGTAAGAATCTAAAATGTTAAACCAGCCCCCAAGTGTGCTAGCAGTGTTTGAGCCTTAGATCTTGAGCTGCACATTATAGATGCTGTTGTGTATTGTTTCATTTGACAAATGTGTAGAGTAAATGAAACTGAACATGTGCCGAGAAAAAAGTCATATTTTACAAAGATTCAAGTTTATTAATTAGTAAGGCAGTGAAACATTCTATTTGTATAAAGTTGAATAGACGAAACAAATCATTTTAAGACGATGCTATTTGTGATCATTTTGCCATTATAGTAGATATTCAATTGAACATACTTTTAAGCCCTTTGTCAATCCACTGCTGATTTAAGGGATGCCACAACATGTCCATTCTCTCAATAGCCAACTAGGAAACTTGATGAACTGGACAAATTTTACACTTATAAAACAATGTTGACACTGCAGTAACACAGTGGTTATTGCAATCTGCACTTTGAACCCGATTACCTGAGTTTGATTCCCGGCCATGGCTAACACAATCTGCACTAACCAGCATGGGGAAGTGTGGATATTAATTTTTGTATTTCTTAAACACTGAGATGCATTTTAACATCACAAGCAAATCATCAGGTATGGGTTTATAACTGCCATTATGACTGACATGCACTTAATGAGCGAGAGAGAAATCGTTTTACATAAAGCCGACTCACACGTCAGGACACAAAGCATACCAGATAGACGTGGTCAAAGATTTCCGATGCACCGTCCATTTGTCCCAGAATCACAATCATCTCATTGTCAATGAATTCACGGTATTCTTTCAGGTTGCAATTCATCAGCATCTCCAACTCTGTGCGGATCTGGAATATTAAATTGAAAGGAAAAAAATATGAAAATATGGTAACTTTTAACGTTAAAAAAAATGTCATCAGGCTCTACAAAATAGTGTACTGTTAATTAATTTTGAAACACAAATAAAAGACCACGTCATGTTGTGCCTTTTGTATGGCGAAGCTACTGATCACCTTTATTCCACCATTAATACAGTAAACTGGCATCTCAATATCCCAATGTCAATATTTTAAAAGCTTTAACTCATTGTAAGTAATGGATTCTGATTAAGTATATGCATGAGGATTTATTCAAACCAATGCAGATAAAAATCTAAAAACATACGAGAGCAAGTAGGAAACATACATACAGTATATGAACCTCATGGCGGGACCCCGGGGTCCCATAAGCCCCCGGCTCTCGCATAAATTGCGTTGCGATGTCATTTTATGTCTGCTGAAGGCGAACGATACGGCAATCTATTCCTCTCGACGAGCTCTACACGATGCGCTAATCAAAGTTTAAAAGTTTTGTTTCTTCTGCGCATTCGTCCTCGCTGCTGCGCTTGGACGACACGACGACAGAACGATCCGCGCCAGGTGGGTCGCGGCGTTTATGTGCGCCAGGGGATGGAGTCGCCAAAAATAAATTACGATTTTGACATCCGTTTATTCGGGACCCCGGGTGTCCCGCCATAAGGTTCGTATACAGTTTTAAAACTTGGAATTGAGCTCGGAAATAACTCCACTCGCCTCCTTGGATGTAATGTTCTCCAGATCTTTCTGCATCATTATTTCTCTCAGCTTTGTTCGGAGCAGCTTCTCTGTTCTTTCCCGCTCTGTGGGTCTGTGACACCATAAACATTACATTGTGGGGCTTTGCGAGTTTACATTCACTCACATATGGACACCATCAGCCTCATGGGCAACCACAAAAGTTAATCATTAACAATGCGACATATGCAAGTCTAGAAATCTGGCTAGTACTTTTACTATAGCTATTGTTTGAACGTCTTGTTAGGATTATATCAATGAGGTTCTAACTTTAAGACGAAAAGTGCAATTCTACACCGGTCAACATAGGATAAGTGCCACATAATTCCTCCCTTGCACGCAATCAAAGTACCAGTTGCTTTGAAGTACATTTCTCATGGGTGTGATAGTCATCTAAAGATTAACTGTGTGCGTACTGTCTGAACTTACTGGTCAGTGAAAAGTACAGGAGAATCGGAGCGCATGGACTGCAGATCATGCATGGCGTTCCATTCATACACGCAGCTCTGCTCAGAGTTGATTCGACTTTCATAATAACCAACCCATGTAAGGAACAGACTCCCAGGGTAATAGTTATTTATCCGTGCCATCTCACATGTCTTGTGCAAACACTGGAGTGCGGACCTAAAAGACGTACACAACACAGAACGTTATTTTATTTTAGCATCGTCGAAAATCACATCAGTGCAGTCGACTTATTGAAATAATGGACAATTCTTAGAACGCTATCATGATCACAAACCTGGCTAAAAAGTACACAAATAAAATCTATACTCGTGCAATTTATATGAATTAGACTTACTTATAAAACCAATAAATAACATACGAATAAAAAACTAACTTACCACATGGCTTGCACGGAGACGGGCTTGAATATATGTGTCCGATTCACTGTTGTTACACTGAAGCCACTGCAGAACAGAATGAGAAAACAAATATTACAAACCAACTACGTGATAACAAGCAAGCTGTAACAAGATTCCCAGTCACTCCACCGTGTTGTAAAAGGCCACAATGTGACATCACTTCCATCATGCAGCCCCCGTGAGCAGCACGACGTATAAAGTTCTGCCAACCTGGAAGCAATTATCCACCTGTATATTTCATAACACTACAGAAAACATAATGGCTACAAGTTCTGGCCATGCGCAGTGCTTTAAGTAAAACAAGTGTTCATTACCAAGCACACAATTATAAAATATAACTGCGCAGTTGTCAAACAAGAGGAGACATACCCATCGCCATCGAGGTGAATTTTTGTGTCGCTCCATAGCGGTAAAACCAAACCAATCGTACACGTGTTGCTGGGTGAGAGAGAGACAGAACAACAAAATCAATAAACCTGTGATTGTTTTCATTCAGAACAATATTTCAAAGCAATTGAGCCATTGCATCTCTTGTAAAGCAGCAACATCTCATGCACAACATTGATGAAGAAAATTATAGCCCCTTTTTAAGCCAAGGTGAAAACATTTATTTCAGACATACTTATCTTTAAGCCAGAAAATAAGTATTTTTAAAAGATAAATTAGGTTCTACAAGATGACACTATTGTGCCAATAGTAGGGGATAATTAAATCCGATTTAAAACTGTTTAAGCTAAATAACAAAAACATCGCATGATTTGTTTACTTGACATACAATTTTTAACAGCCAACACATTAAACTAATGTCTGTCACATTTTCCTCCCCAAGACTCTGCATCATGCCATTTATCTCCACGGGCTTAGGAAACACGTGACCCAACTTTGAACCGTTACAGGGACAGTCGGAAAGAATTCAAAACACACGCAGCAACATTGGCAAGGCTAGAGTTTTGGATGCTGGTACCTTTCGCGGCTAGGGAAATCCATGCCAAGCACAATGCTCTCCTCCGTGTCCTGTCTTCCGTTGGTATAAACCACCACCATGTAGCGCGTCCGTTGGGGATAGCCACTCTCCAGCCGCACTGCCTACAAGGATAGGGAAAGAGCAAGAACAACCTATGCAACCACAGCATGGGGAAATGTAGGGAAAGTGCTGTAACAGAAACCCACTGCAATGGACACATTAACTGACAAAGTGACAGGGTTTTCTGGAAGGGCATTAATTCAATGTTACATGACACATGTTACCCACGTAACATGGGCTTTATCTTGACATTGCTGTGGTAGACTCACCATGCTACCCAGTCTCCAGTGTGTCTTCACCAGTTAAGCATCTACGCTTGGCATCATCTGCCGACCTTGTGTGCCTTTACTTTCAAACGTGTTGAATACATGGGCGCACATTTATTCACGCCGACGCCAAAGAAAATTGTTATGATCACTTCGGCAAACGGGGCGTAACAAAACAAACTTATCTGAAAGCTACGTCTCAAGTGATGGATGTCATGTCTTCCTCTATTTTGTTTCATGAACAAAAAATAAACAAGCCAAATACCTCGCCAGTATGTGTTTTTGTTTCCTGTAACTAGCATGATTTCAAAACACAGTGCTGTACGAGTGAAATACAACCCGGGTGATGTAGCTCATCAATGCTGGTGTTGAGATTTTGTTGAAAGATGTCTCCCCTCACCACAAAGCAGAATGCATTGCATCATGCGGAGTTGTGTGCTGATAAGGGATCAACAGGCTCCGGGCGGCGTCACTAAGAATCTCTGTCTACGTGAGAATGTCAGTGTACATTGCCCAAGTGCTTAACGCACAGCAACATGTATGCTGGCGCTTATGCACCAAACCATTTTTAAGCACTCTGACCAGCACCAAGTACCGATTCATTTTCTGTAATATAATTAGCTATCAATGTCTTCCATGCTGACCGAATGTGCTATGCTTTGAACAATATCTACATTACAGATATGGCAGTATTTATTCAAATCTGTGACTGTATGAGCGGCAATATAGTAGCAATTGGAATATCTTTAACCCGGGAGCCTCCTAAATAATAGTCCGGTGAATCAGTGAGGCTTTCCTGGGTAGACCAAGCATAATAATAATAAAAGCTCCTGTACATATAAAATTACTCATCATAGTACAGGTTTCCGATATTGCAAAACATTAAATGTGTACGTTGTGCAATAAGTCAATCTGCCTTAGTAAAAAAAAGATGAATCATCGTGTAAAGGTTAACCATAATAATCTTACACTCGTGTGGATTGGTAGTGCAGTGGCATACAAACTGTGCTATGAGCCCAACAACCTAAGTTTCATTCCTGGCCAGAGCTAACATCAGTGGTGATGAGATATATGAATCGGCCTACAACCCTGCCTCCCACACACCTCAACAACCATCTGCTTTATCAGCCTGCACTGAACCAGCGAGAGGTATGGTCAAAAAACCCCCATGGCTGGCTTGTTGTGGGGCAGGCTTTCATACCGTACTAGGGACGTGTCCATGTGTGCGTCTTTACAAGGGTGGGACATGGAAATAAATTGAGCGTATTATATGTTACCTTCAAAAGCAAGGCCTACTATGGCTCACAATTAGAGGAACAGACTGCAGAACTTTTGATAATTATTGGATGTGTTTTATTCTTTAAAGTAGAAAGGTTAGACAACCTGATAATAATTGACAAAAGGTACATTTTGTCAATACAGTATTTATCATGCCTACAAGCATTAATAAACGTGAGAATACCACATTGTTATTCCCATATCCTGAGTGACTGATGTCACCTAGATGTGTGAAAAGCATTTAAATTAAAATACATCAATAATAAACAGGAATAACAATATGAGAGAAACACAAGCCAGATTTGTATGTTCACAACAGCGGTGTAGCATTTCACACTGTAGTAACTGAGATAGTACATTCAGAAGTGCATATTTTTTAAAACAGTGATACCCCGGTTTACGTGGTGGATGACGACGTATACTGAAACGACATAAACCAGAGTAATTTATAGGGTAGGAGCAGGCGACTGATACGAGAAAGGATGGATGGACACTGTCAGCAACATAAGTGTGATTTGCGGCGATGCACATCGGTAATAAAGTGTCAACGTACTAGATTTGAAGCTTTCGTGACTACAAGGATTCATATTCTTAGGTTTTTTCGGTAAAGTCACGTGGGTGAAAAATTTAAATTAATAAAAGTAAAATAAAAATAAAATAAAAATCACGATGTTTCGGAGGCAACACAAGCTTCCGTCTTCAGGTGGAACCGTCACAGCACGATAGCTATCGTTTTTTATTTTTCACCTACGTGACTTTACCGAAAAATCCTAAGAATATTTCAACGTACTGTATTTGCAAAACGACGTAAAATGGGGATACGTAAATCGGGGTATTACTGTACCGATTACATTCAGATTAAAGGCGATGTGATCTGTGTTCTTACAAGTTTGATGTTATCCTCTGCCCGAAGGATGTTGAGCATGGCCTGCAGATGTTGCTGCAGATCGCCTGAAAGAGAAAAGCGGGTTGAAAAGCCATTGGCAACAAAACGTTTCTGTCCCGTCATCTCTGCTACCGAGTAGGGCAGTGAAAACGGGACACACTTAGATGACTAACCATAGAAACAAAACGGAGTATCTACAATCCAATAATCATTTAACATGCTTCAGTTTTCAGTTTCATCGATTAGGTATAACCCTGTGAGCCATGCGGCTCTTGACTCGGGTGCAAACGCAACAAAAAACACATGAACAAGAAACATCTTAAAGTGACTACGCGCAACAGAAAAATCCAGGAAAAGACAGCAAAGTCTTCCATAAAAAACACCGCATTTCAACGCTGTGTGCAAAAATCCCAGTGGGATGCAAGTCAAACAATAACAACCATAAGACAATTTAGATTTAAGTTATCAGGCTATGTACTACAACAAACAAACATAGCTAAACCAAAACGTTTTCAAAATCACCAAAAAAAAAGCTATAAAAACAATGTAACAGTGATCATAGGAACTGTGATGCTAACACAAGCACCACGATTCGCCACTAAGTGTCGGTGACGTCACCATGGAGCTTGTGCCAGGCTAGGTGCACATAATAAAACACATATATACACACAAACACACGTTATTAAAAGCATATTTGTCATTTAAAATACAGTGCCTGACATGTGCTAAATCCGACGACTTGAACATAATCAAACGTATTGAGAAAACGAAAAACATTGTTTTAATTAAAAACACCACCCAGGAATTTTGAAACCAAATACAAATTCAATAAGATAAAACGAAAACAAACGTTCCATAGCCTTACTTGAGATTTTTCGCCTTTTGGGAGTCCATTCCTGGGCAATCCACTCATGTGACTTTGCCACCAACATGCATACCTCCCCCATACATTCGCTGTACAAGACCATTGTTTACAGTAGACTATTCCAAGCAGCAGGAAAACTTGGTAAACATCGGTCGATTGAGTATAAATCGTCACTAAGCTAAGGTTTTTTACCCCGTCATCATATCCAAAAAAATGCTGAACACATTCTTTTTATTTTAACTGCAGCGACAACCTCGCCACCAGTAGCACTCAATGCAAGTACCCCGATTTACAACGAGCAATTTCTGCGTGTGAAACAACGTAACGCTTGCCCGAGTAATTAAATAATCACAATTAACAAACTACTCTTATAAGCCACCGATTCAGAACGTGGCTGAACGTAGCATCTAATAGACCTACGAAGAGCTATAACGCAACGGGCATTTCCTTCACTGCCACCCCCGCCTTCCTGTCCATCTCTTTTATACTCGCTCGGCAACACGTGATGTCACAATTCCATGAATGGGAGGGGTTGAACGCAAATGCCGTTTCAGCCAGTAACAAAACACAAACAAACCCAAGCTTCTGACCACCACCACCCACCCAGGCAGCCAGCCCACTCCGCAAGCCACCCCCTATGACCCTCTGCGCATCACGTGAAGACACAGACGACAACTATGAAGCACTCCCCCCTGTTTTGATGAAGGCTGGTGCCAGTCACACAACAACCATCTCCCCGTAAAGCCTGCAACCGACTGTTTGGGGCAAGTGCTGTGAGCGAGCTCCTACGAAGGCCCGGCACGACACACTAAGGGGTGGTCAACACCACGCCCGGCCGCCTTTGTCTCCCCGGTAGCGATGTTTACACACCACACCGTGTACTAATTTTGAGGCCGAGTCGGCCTAGAGGAGGCCAAGGAACCGTTCAGGTAGTCGTCATTGGTGTCGACCGTGAGTGGGAATCGAACTTAGGTTCGTAGCACGTGCCCGCTAACCACTACGCCACCGCTCCCCAGTCGCACAAACTCAACCACACACACAGAGCTCTCCGCTAATAAACTACGGAGCTGATACTATATGATAGGTAAGGTGTAATAAATAAATTTTGATTTGGTCTAAAATTGCAAATACCTATGCATATCGAACAATAACGTATTGTCATAATCATTACACATACATCACTTCAGCTCGCGATAAGATAATTACCCTTGCAATGTTTACTTTGAGTGCTCTAACCTCTCCTACGCACCAGTGTACAGCGAACTGACCACATTGATTTTCAAAAAGTGAAAACTTTTTGTAACACAGAGGAATGCCACCTTGGGAATTCAGAATCAGCTCCTCAATTAAGTTGGTTAATCAACTCCTAACACCCTCATGTAAATCTGGGTAATCTTGGGGACATCACATTCTGGCTAAAAGGCCTGTCTGAGCATTCTGGCAAACACGGAGACACAATGGCCAGTGGGAATGGATTAATTAGCTGAAGGGTGGAAGAAGTAGCTCAGCAATTAGCGCACTGCACGACAAGCCCGACCACGGAAGTTCAATTCCCCTGCAATGGCTAAGAGCAGTGGCGTGGGGATATCTGAACCAGAGGTCGCAACCGGGTACCCGATACCCGTACCCTACCCGATACCCGGCTACCCGTACCCGGCCGGGTACGGGTAGCCGTTTGCGACCCTGGTGCGGCCGGGTACGGGTAGGCCGTGAGTCACTGGTGAATAACCGTTTGTCACCCATTTCGGGTATGGTACGGGTAGGGAACGGGTACCCGTACCCGGCCGGGTACGGGTACCCATTTGCGACCCTGGTGCGGCCGGGTACGGGTAAGGAATCAAAACCCGTTTGCGACCTCTGATCTGAACTGGCCTGGGTGCCTCCTCCACCACCAACTTGCACAGATGAAATGTGAAGTCGGATCCGAAACAACCCTAATACATGGGGGGGGGGGGGGCTTCCATATAGCCACAATGTTGACAGAGGACTCAACATGAGAGATATGTTAATCAGGATTTAATGATTAAGTTGTTACAGCTTGACACGACAACGTGAGGGGGGGGGGGGGTGAAGAAGGGAGTTGGGAGAGGGTTATGCGTTTGTATGTAGAACTTATTCGCACTGTATGTAGCCAAACTTGATTTGAAAGCTTTCGTGACTGCAGGAATTACTCTTTGGTTATTTTGGTAAAGTCACGTAGAGAGAAAATAAATTAAAGAATAGAATACGACGTTTCGATTGCAACACAAGCAACCGTTATCAGAAGTATGTCTCCGTGTTGTCTCTCTCTGCTTGTGTGTCTGTCTGTGTGTCTCTGTGTCTGTGTTTTGCCTCTCTCTCAAATGTAGTTCTTCCTGATGACAATTGCTTGTGTTGCAATCGAAATGTCGTACTCTATTATTTAATTACTTTTCTTTGTACGTAGCCAACCGTGCTAATCGAAGGTGCGGGGGCGAAGGACAACCAACTAAACACAAAAAAAGCAGTTCTAAAAAACGAGTGTGCAATCTAAAATTAAAAGCGCATAACTCCGGTGGCTTCCTAATATTGGAAGGAAGAGCGTTCCAGACGGCCGCAGAGGCGCATCTGAAAGCGCGCGTTACAGTGACCCGTCTCTGTTCTCGAGGAGCTGTGTGAGCAGATGTTTAAGCTTTGAGAGTCAGTGAGAGGAGGAGTAGTAGTCTTGGGTGAGACCAGATGCGGTGGTGTCTGCTGTGAAGATGCTGCAGAGTGGTGTGACACCACTGGGTCTACACCTGGGTGGATGGAGGCTGTGATGGAAATCGTGGCAAGAGTTCTCATCGTACAAAGTTGCACACAACTGTTGTTATAAAATATACATTTAAAGTTGGGCCAATTGTATGAGCATCGTCTTGTAGGGTCTGCTAAGGCATGAAACAATGCAAGTGTATCGAGACTAGGGCGGTTAAACAAACCCTGAATGCCGTACAGTGCAGGTAAAATAACCCAGTTTGTGAGAAACATTTGTAGTTTGGATTCAATTGTTTCCACAGCAGATGTCTCGACGTCCCGTCGCCCCCACCCGGCCACCCGTCACAACTCGGGCCCCCCATTTCCTCTTCCTCAACACGTCTTCTTTCCAAAACACCACATTTCTACAAAATGCCAGCGTTCAAAATACTCCACGCGATCTTAACTACGCTTCCACCGACACTCAACAAAGTCTGTTATTCAGTCTCTTGCTTAAACTTTTAAAACAAGACACTTATCGGAGCCATCTAGAAATGTTAAGTGTAGGTATGGGCTAAGTAAAGGTGCATCCCCGCGTTGTTCATTCCAATGCTGGCAAAATGGTGGTGGCTTATACTGTTGTCTTTCCCTGCATCGCGGTTGCTGTCAGCTGGTCACATTTTCTTAAATGATACTTTGATGGTGATTTTAGGCAAGGGGACCACAATGCACTTCTTCGGGAAATGCTGATGGGGTGTTTATGCATATGCACAAATTGCTGTGTGCTTTTTGCACATTTTCGTCTTGTTTGAAATGTACGCTTTTCCAGCCTGCAATATGATTCTGTTCTGATGGGGGTCTTTCTCGCCATTTACATATTTGATCAATGCGCAATCGCAGGGAAGTAGATAAAAGCTGGTCTTCAACAACACAACGCGAGGCACAGATGGCACGAGCAAATACTGTAGATAACCAAAAGAATAATATAAATATAATCCGTCAATGTTGTGTCTCAACTCCAGTACAGCGCAAGAGAACACATTTCAAACACCATTATTTTAACATTACGCCCCAGTGAACAGATGCCGTGCAAGGATGAAGCCAATGAGCATTCTTTGTTCCCTTGCAAAGAAAAGAGTCGCTTCAAATTAATCCCGAGTACATTTAATCATGGGTGAAAAATAAATAATCGTGGGTGGAAAAGGCACGGATTTCACGCAACAATAAGCAAAGATAGAACTGCAGGCCATTTGCTTAAAACAACAACAGTACACAGCCACCAAACCTTAAAAAAACACACGCAGCAATTAAATTCTTGCATTTAACATTACACGATTGATAACAGTTTTTTTTATACGACCTAACCAAAAATAATCCCAGTTATGAATCATGAAATTGGTCATGAAAGCCTAAACATAAAATAACAGTACATATTATTTAATCTATTCAGTAAGTGAATTTCAAACAAACGTTTATTATTTTGTCACGAGGTAATTGGCGGGCAGCCAAACTTTTCATCACCTTTCACGTTTGAGATTATTCAAATTATATTTAAAGACAGACAACATTTATTACGTGTGCCCAATTATGCAAGAACCCACGGAAGTTCGTGTACTCTGCATTAAGGATATTAAACATTGTGAGGTTAAGATCGATTTTGATTCGATAGTAGAATAAATACTTATTCAAGAACATTGATACATGCACGAGTTGTACCTATGTACATACCATACCAACCTTCAAAATCATGGTTTAATAATTTAAAGAAAATTAAATACTTTGTCATGAAAGGTGAAACTGGACCAAACTTTCAAGTTACACATTTTAAATGGGAATGTTTATAAAAAATATTGTTGACGTGAATATTTGTTCCAGATAAACATATAACTTAATGAATAATAACAATAATTAGCATTTCTGTCCCAGTAAATTAAAAAATATATCATTTATATAAAAATACTTGTTACGTAACCTACACACTCCAAATAGCGTCGCTTTGGCTAACTCTGTGTGTTAACACATTAAATATTATTTTAAAAAGTTCACCAACATTTTAGTGAAATTATTATTTCCTAGAACGTGTAAAAGGAGATATTAAACATTGTAGGAATGCATACACGTGTAACCCAATCCCTATAACACCTTGACCATGAGGCATTTTAACCACACACCACGTTCTGTGCTACCCACGTTTTGACTCCTAGTAACGACAGACATAAATTTCGAATTTAAAACTTTCGTGACTGCAGGGATTCATATACTTGGTTCTTTCGGTAAAGTCACGTAGAAGAGAAATAATAAAATAATAAAAATAAAACAATAAAATTCTCACGACGTTTCGATTGCAACACAAGCAATCATCATCAGGTGTGAAAACCACAGCAAGAAAATTGACAGACATGTTTTAAACTTCATACAAAACACTATTTCAACGCTAACTTCCAACGTTAATTGTGTAAGTATGCTCAACATGCAGGCAACTGCATGTTAATAAAGAACTTTATAATTACAAACTGACAAAAAAGGGCAACACTAGAGATACTTCACAAACAAAGTGGGTAGCATGTTCAGTGGAAGCACATTGTTTTTCTTCTCTCCACTCTAAACCCGTGTGACTTGCGGAACACGTGGCCCGGTTCGGGAATCGCCAGTGATCACAGCCGGGGGTTGTTTACAAGCAAGCTGGCGCAAAAAAAAAATTTGTCCTGAAGAGTTCAAGTACCACAGTGGAATACCCGCACAGACCCCAGTCTTTTTCGATTTAAAGCTCTCGT